AGGAGGAGGAGCCCCCAGACCTCCTTCCTCCCTGAGCGAGGAGGACGATGGAGGAGGAGGAGGAGGGGGAGGAAGGGTGAAGAAGAAACGGAGGAAAAAGGACAAGAGAGAGCGAGGAGTGGAGGCGGGGGAGAGAGAGAGGGAGAGCAGCAAACCAAAGAAACGGAGAGAGGAGAAGGAGGCGACGACGGTCACTCTGAGGAGGGGCAAGGAGCCTAAGGAAGGGAAGGAGAGGAAGGAGAGAAGGACAAAAGTGAAGGAGGGGAGGAAGGAGAGCAGGACAGAGCTGAGGAATGTGTCAGGGGGGAGAGCGGCGCCCGGCCCCGCTCAGGTGCCCGTTAAGGTACCCGGGAAACGAGGGAGGAAACCCAAAGTGAAAGTCCTCCCTCCTCTGCCGACGAATCAAGGTACGCACACACAAAAACCACTGTGTGTGTGTGTGTGTGTGTGTGTGTGTGTGTGGGTGTGGGTGTGTGTGTGTGTGTGTGTGGGTGTGTGTGTGTGTGTGTGTGTGTGTGTGTGTGTGTGTGTGTGTGTGTGTGTGTGTGTGTGTGTGTGTGTGTGTGGTGTGTGTGGGTGTGGGTGTGTTCTGTAACGTCTTTAATTCATGGTCAGACATGACGGCATAAATTTATCTGATTACGATGTGACGGTTGGTTTTAATTAAAGATGAGGATGTGTGTGTGTGTGTGAGCATCGTTTGGTTTGCCTTCATTAGGCAGGTCAGTAGAGGGAGAGAGAGAGAGAGAGAGGGGGGGTGACATGCGAGAAAGCAACGCTTCAATAACACGTTCAATAAATAATTAATCGTGTTTAATAAAAAGAACATCAGGAAAATAGAGACATGAAATCAATAAGAACAATAAAGCTGTTTTCACATATGCTCATCTGAAATCCTCCTGATCTGTTCACACATACACCTCACAGAGGAGACTATCCCTGTCAGACAGGAGGGGGGAAACATAATGCAGCAGGTTCATTAGAGCACGGAGATGGTAGAGGTGGCGTGCAGACAGGCTATGGTCGTGCAGCGATCACAGGAAAATATCAGGATGTTTTGTGTGAGTGTGAAGACGTCTGAATGGATGATGTCATGCCTTATTATCAGGTCCAGGTTAATAACGTCTGAAGTCACATGAAACGTGTCACCACAGATTCTTTAGCATCGCCTCACTCACAGATTTCCCGCCTTTGTCCTCCCACAGCACCTCCTCCTCCTGCTCCTCCTCCGGGTCTCCACACTAAAGTCTCGGTCCAGCCCCACAAAAAGAACCATGGCCCGGCCAACAGCAAGAGGCCAGCCCCCTCAGCGCCTAAACAGAGAGGCCGCAAACCCAGGTGAGATAACACTCTGACACTCTAAAGAGAGAGAGGAGACATGAGCTGCTCCCTGAAGAGGAGTTCGATGAAACTGTCAAAGGATGCTCTTCTTCTTCTTCTTCTTCTTCTTCTTCTTCTCTTCTCCTTCTCTGGGTCGCTCAGTCACATTCATCACTTTTCATTTTCAGGCTGTGCTTTTGTTTTATTGTCGGTGAGGGATATTTTAAACGTCTGCATCCAGAGAGGAGAGAAGGTGAACTGAAGCGTCTGCTGTTTGTTTGTTTGTTTACTCGTTTGAACGTCAGCCATGCAGGCAGCGCTGCTAGCTTAGCTTGTTGTGAGCATGAACACTTCATGTGATCTCTCTGGAGCCGATCCCAGCTGTCATTGGTCGAGAGGCGGGGTTTCACTCTGGACTGATCACCAGCCATTCACAGGGCTGACATATAGAGACAGACAACCAGCCACACTCACATTCACACCTACGGACAATTTAGAGTCAGCAGTGAACCTAACGAGCATGTCTTTGAACTGTGGGAGGAAGCAGGAGTACCCAGAGAGAACCCACACATGCACAGGGAGAACATGCAAACTCCACACAGAGAGACTCCTGTCAGACGGGGATTCAAACCAGGAAACTCCTCGCTGTGAGTGGACAGAGCTAACCACTACAGCACCATGCAGACCTCATTTAAAGAACAATCAGGATATGATCCTAAACGATATAAACACACACTCCTAACTTGCACATGATATTTAAGATGACTCATGGATTCTGTTTTCACACAGGTCCTCTCTGTCGGCTCTCCGTCTGAACTGTCAGAATGACCCTTTGTTGGGTCTTTGTCCCTGCATGTATTCAGAGAGAGTCAGAGGAAAGATTGAGGCTCAGAAACATGTTGACTGAAACACGATCTTCTTTACTCACTAGCTGTGTTATTGTTTTTATGTTTTCATCCTGCAGAAGAACAGCTTAACGGTATCAGAAAAGTCTTAAACAGATAAACCAAAGCAGAAGTTAGTTAGTCGCAATCTGGAGGATTTAAAGTTCATAAACGTCTTGATACCTGAGTTGCACTTAAAGCATTTACTGATGCAGTGTGACTGTGCAGGTGTTCTCTTTGCATCATGTACGTCTCCACGGTCAGACGACGCTGAGAGGTGTTTACGCCTCTTTTTTTTTTAAATACAAAAGTCAGAGGCTGGTGGAGTTTGTGTTCAGAAGCGATGCAGCCAGGCACCTTTAATATTTCTCTCCTTCTACCTTTAATGTATTTAAAAAAAAGTCGTCGATTGTTGCAGAACATAATTTTTGCACGAGTCTGGACTGAATGTTTGCTCAGGATCTGGCAGAATGTATCCAGGACGTATCCATGACGTATCCAGGGGTGACTCTAGGGTCTGCTGTGAAAATGTAATGGGTGACCCTACGACAGTGTTGATCACCATCACATCTGCCAGGGTCCCGACGCTTCCTCCTCTCCTCGTTGACTTCCATTGACAAATTTTCTTTTCACAGCAATAAAGCAGGCAGCACTTAACCTGTTAGGGATGTCTCCTATGTGCACATTTTGAGCCACTGCTGTGTTTTTAAGTTTGTCAGCCCTCAGGGGCCCCCTCGCTGGTCTGGGGCCCCCTCGCTGGTCTGGGGCCCTCCGCTGCCCTACCTCTTGAAAAGCAGCACCTCTGGATATATCAGAGCAAAGCATGGAGCAAAGTTGTAGCACAAACCCACTCTGAAGCTCACTGAAATAACCCTACAGCTGCAAACAGAGCTGGCCAATCAGAGGAGAGAGGGCACATGGGGGGGGGCTTAAAAAGACAGCAGCAGGCAGAGAGGCTGAAATAAGGGACTTTCCTGACGGCAGAATCAGGCGGCTTTAGGTCTAAAAGTGGTAAAATAAGGAGAATAGTCGTGTGGTGACGTCTCAGGGTGAATCCACAAAGACTGCAGAGGGAAGTTAAAGTTTGAAAATATTGGATTTTAAATTTTGGAGGAGAGAAAAGAGAGTGAAGAAAGATGTGGAGGGGGATGATCAGATGAGTAGAAGAGGAGAACAAGGGAAAGAGGTTAGAAATAAAGTGAGAATGAGAAATAAAAGATGAGTCATGATGTGAAGTCAGCAGCAGACGGAGAGAGAAAGGATGTCAATAAGAGAGAGAGAGGGGGGGGGGATAAAATAGATGAAGGCGGAAGAGGAGGGATGAAAAGCAACAGAGGCCAATGAGGGAGAGGAGAGAGAGAGATCTGGCTGAGGTTCAGCTGCAGGTCGGGTTCAGTGTCGGGTCACAGTTTGTTCAGATTACAGCAGACAGAAAAGAGAAGTTTTAGCTGTGTCTGTATCAGCAACCTCCAGGAAGCCGATGCTGAAGTGTAAAATCCTGCAGTTCCTCCAGTGTCCATTAGAGGCTGGCTGCAGAAGCACAGGAAGTCACATACACACCCATTCTAAAAAGCCTGTTTTTACAGAAGAGATTAATATGTTTACAGCCTGGTTCAAAAAAACAAACAGGTCTGATTAGCTCATGTCTCGATCGACACACACTGTACAGGGGGTGAATGTTTTGATGACACATCCGTTTTGATTTGATGAAGGATAAGAGATATTCATAATAAGGCGTGTAGCTGACCTGATTGACAGGTGATCCTGTATTTGATCATGCCTATAAACCCCTCTTATTTCAGCCCTGCTCAGAACAGACTGTTTCTGTGTCTGTACCTTTAAATATGTAAATGAGCTGTGTCTGACCACGCCCCCTCTCTGGAAGGGCTTGGGTGTACTCGGGCTTTCTCGCTCCATGTCCTATTGTTTACGGTGAGAAGGCAGACTCAGAGGGCAGAACAAACACCTAGCTGTGGGAGTGTCACCCACCTGGGGGAGGGGCTACTGCCCTTTGTGATGTCATGAAGGGAAAATCTCCAAATGGCCTGTTTGAGCACATATTTTCTGAAAAGTGGAGCAGGGAAAAGATGGAGAGGATGGACTTTTCTCATCATTGGGGGGTTTGTAGACGTACTAGAGACACATATTAGTGTTAGAGAAAAATATATGTATTTGTACTCCCCTGCATTGATGTGAGTGAGACTGTTTTTGCAGACGCACACTTAGGGTGAATTAGCGACTGCAGACTCGTGAAGGAGCTCAAACTCAGGTCACAATCGAGTTCAGAAAAATGAGTCATCCTGTAAAAAGAAAAAGACGAAATGAAGAGATGGAAGCTCGATTCTATGATGATATGATTTTTTCATTATTGTTGTTTCTATCTATAAAATATTCTGAGTCTATTTAGTAAAGACATGATTTATCATCCTCATGCTGAGCAGCTGATTGAAGCGTTTCCATCAGCTAATGTGTATGTTTGATCATCCTTGTTTCCGTCTTTCTGAGTGTCTTTATTCCTCCTCCTCGTCTCTTCTCTTTCATTTAATGAAGTAAATTAATCTTCACGTCTTTGTTGTTTTCTGGAGACTTCATGCTCATTACGTTTCACTTTACAGCAATCAAAGCAAATCAAATCTACGACTGATTTCAGAATCCTCCCGACGCGCATGATAAAGACGCTCCAACTGCAACGTTACCGTCTGTAGGAAAATAAACTTTAAGTAGATTTAACAACAAGAATGCAAATTAATTAAAGGAGTAATATGTTTTTATTAAAATGGGTACTGCAGTCTAAATTCTAAACATTGTAGAGAGCTGTCTCCCCCCGGCCCCTCCTCTCTAGAGTCGATGTTCACGCAGGTTACCATGTGGTGGACTCTGAAGCTTCAGTGTTTATCCAGCTCTGCATCGGTCTGTAAACCTTTCTGCGTTCTAACCTCTCTCCATTTTTCAAAAGCATCTCTAATATTGATCCTAGTTTGAGCACGTTTCTGCTCGTGGAGCTTATTAGAAACATGCAGAGGCTTTTTAGGTCGGGTACAATCACTTCTATCTGAACCAGTTCTCATGCCCGCTTCCATCGCTGCAACACCTGTTGCTTTGACCTGATAACTGCTCTCATATCTGGCAAACCGAGGGGCGTCCAAAACGGCCGTGTGTGGGGGTGCCTTAAAAGCGTCTACCTTCTCTGGTCCAAACAAATCCAGAGCATTCAGGAGCAGAATCTAAAGTTAGAAGGAGGACATACTGGCTGCTGCATTGTTGTCAGAGAAGCCAGCACTTCAACATAGCATGTTTCCTTAATGTCTGATCATATAGTAAGATCACTTTATCATTTCACTCACTACACATCTCACTGATTGGACCTTTAAAGTTTAAATTGATGTGAAGGGGTGCTAGATAGCTTAGCAGTTATGGTGCGCCCCATGTACAGACTCTGTCGGCCGTTGGTACTCACCCGACATGTCATCCCCCGCTCTCTCCTCCTGACCTTTCCTGTTTCTCTCCAGCTGTCTGGTCTAAAAAAATGACTTTTTAAAACAGTCATGATGGTGTGTGTGGGTTATGGTCTGTGATACTCACCAGTACCTGATCTGTCCTTAACACGTTTCCAATCCTTCAAAGTGGCATCCTCGGCGCTCTGAGGGAGCTTCAGTCCTGCAGCTGGTCTCAGAGCTTTTCCAGCTGTTGTCTTGTTGATCAGGAAATAAAAAAAATGAAGTGAGGATGCTGTTATTTGTCTCTCCTTCCTCTCTCTGTCTCCAGCCGCTCTCTTTAAATCCACTGTGAGTCGTTCCTCTGGCTCAGGGAGTAGAAAGCTGCTGCAGGCTACTAGAGCTGATTATAACTCCTCCTCTTCCTGTTCCCCGTCCTCGCAGAGATCCTGGCGCCGCGCCGGTGGAGAAGAAGAAGAAGGGGAAGAGGAGAAACGCGGAGCTGGCTGTCCAGGAGGGGGCGGAGAGTGACGACACTACCTCAATGTCGACCCTCAACATGGGAGGAGACGACAGCCAGGACCCCCTGGATAACGCTGTGAGTGGAGGAGACGACGGGCGCCGTTTGTTTCTTTAAGTTCACTCTGCATTAACCATCATTCTGTCACAATTTTCATGCTGTGGAGCCATTTTTGAATTTATTATCCTTATAACTTTCTAACCTGAAGCCCGGCTCAGACTGCAGGATAATCGCTGATTAGACATCCTGACAGTCTCGGGGTGTTCCCTCCTCGAGGCTGCTCTGAACCGATGATCTGCACTGATTCATTTGTAGTGCGAGTCGTATAAAGATCCGATCTCCACCTCCCCGATCTGCTCAGATGGTTTATCTCAAACATGTTAAGGATTTAAAATCTGGACGAGTAAGTCATGAACGGGTTTGGCAGAGGATGCGTTTGTTTACAATAACCACAAGAGACGAGGTAACACAGTAGTAAGGCCCCGTGTCCACATGGCATTTTTTTCTGAGCGTCAGTGTCTTTTTTTTTTTCATTTGTTTTCAGTGAGTAGAGAGCGTTCACAGCAGCAGCAGCTACGGCGGCCCTCTGGAGAGAAAGCGCAGCGCCAAGCGTCCTTTTCCCGAGCACTCCACTTTTTTTTTGTGCAGCCGCTCCGAGCACTCAAGTTGGAAATCTTTCAACTTTTCAGAAAGGCGCTGTTGACGTCACCGGGCCCTCTTTTCTAAATGTTTGGTATTTCCCGTAGTTTTACCTCCTACAGATCGTGTACCCTCATCCTCCTCGCTCCGTGTCTGATCAGTAAAATAAATGATCTGAAATGTAAAACATGCCGTAAAAAGTAACGGAGCAGTGTCGCTCATACAGCGGCCGTTGTCAACAGACTGTTGTCATAGCAACAGGACGGACGTTCAGCGCTTTTACTTTGCTTGGCGGACACGGGGCCTCCCATTGAAGTTGTGCAGATTTAAAGTAGCTCTGAGAGATTTCATTACAGAGAGAAAAAAACAGCCACGTCAGCCCAGTTTATCCTGCAGAGGTCAGAGGTCATTGGTGGAGGATGTTTGTTAGCGTCCACAGATTTAAAGAAGAGCTTTAATAGAGGACGAGTGGCGAGCAGCTGTGGGACTAAACAACCTTGTGTTCTGCTCCGCTGAACGACTCAGCTGCTTTTCTATTTCAGAGATTCAATTAAAAAAAGCAAAGAAGTAAAATAAATCTAATCTACTTCTCCATGTTTCCATCAATCCCTCTTTTCTCATCTTCTTTCTACTTCCTGTCCGTCTCCTCTCCCTCTGCAGAAGCGGCGTTCAGGACGTCAGGTGAAGCGGAGGAAGTATAACGAGGATTTGGACTTTAAGGTCGTGGACGATGATGGAGAGACCATCGCAGTTCTTGGAGCCGGTCGAATCTCAGCGCTCAACGCCACGGCTCTGGCGTGGCAGGCCGAGGTAAAGACACTGACCACCATCTTTAAAGATTACTCACATTATTTCAGGGACATCCATGTGTAGAATAGTCTCTGTTTTTTTAGCAGGTTAGAGAATCTACAGTCAAGATTCAGACGGCGAGCTTTGGTAAAGTCTGACTGTGCAGCTGCTTTGAGGATACTAACGTCTCAAGGTTTAGAGGCCAAAACAGACGCTCTGTCCAAACATTAAAGGAGCAGTATGTGACTCTGACCCCTAGTGTTTAAAATGGGTACTGCAGTCTAAATTCTAAACATTGTAGAGAGCTGTCTCCCCCCGCCCCCTTCTCTTTAGAGTGATGCTCATGCAGGTTGCCATGTGGTGGACTCTGAAGCTTCAGTGTTTAGCCAGCTCTGCATCGGTCTGTAAACCTTTCTGCGTTCTAACCTCTCTCCATTTTTCAAAAGCATCTCCAATATTGATCCTAGTTTGAGCACGTTTCTGCTCGTGGAGCTTATTAGAAACATGCAGAGACTTTTTAGGTCGGGTACCATCACTTCTATCTGAACCGGTTCTCTTGCCCGCTTCCATCGCTGCAACACCTGTTGGTTTGACCTGATAACTGGTCACATATCTGGCAAACCGAGGGGCGTCCAAAACGGCCGTGTGAAATGTTTTTTTTAAAATTTTTTTAGAGGTTTTGAATGGATGAGTTTGTCAGCATTGAAGCTTCTTTACTAGGTTTGTCTCTAATGACTCCACCTTGTCTGTGTTTGTGTCCCTCAGGAGCCTCCTGAAGACGAGGCCAACATCATCGAGAAGATTCTGTCGGTGCGAACAGCAAAGAAAGAGGTGAGGAGGAAAGAATTCACACCTTCACTCACATTTTCATGCACTAATAAAAACAACTGGAACTGCTTTTCATTCTTAAATCCTCTGTCCTGCATCTCCTCCTTTTTCTCTCCTCAGACGTCTTCAGAGGAACAAGTCGAGGACAGAGAGGAGTTTTACGTCAAGTACAGAAATTTGTAAGTCTGTCTTCATTTCTTACACGTTATATTTGTTGGTCAGTGTGTGCAGACTCAGAGGGCAGAACAAACACCTAGCTGTGGGAGTGTCACCCACCTGGGGGAGGGGTTACTACCCTTTGTGATGTCATAAAGGGAAAATCTCCAAACGGCCTGTTTGAGCACACATTTTCTGAAAAGTGGAGCAGGCAGAAAACGGAGAGGATGGACTTTACTCATCATTGGGGGGTTTTTAGACAGACTAGAGACACATGTTAGAGTTAGAGGAACATGGGGAAGAGGATTTAGCTGAATATGTGACCTTTGAGGACTTTAGCCTCTGAAACTGTTGCACAGCCATCTGTTTTTAGAGCCAGAATTGATCTTATTTGGAAGAGAGGGTGAAGCTTATATATCTGCTTATACTTGCGCTGTCTGTACATCTTTCTCCATAGCATAATAATGGAGATGCTAGTTTAGGTTGGCGAATCAAATACGCTCACGCTGCACACCTTTTAATAATCAGCAACTGAGTTAAACCATGCAGTGTTTTCCGATCGAGTGTGCCGGCGTTCCGTTTTGTCTCTGCTCCGACCAGGAGAAGGCAAAGGTTAAAAGCATTTAAATAATGACGTGATCAAAGAAGAGGAGTCCTTCATGACTCTACAGGAAGTCCTTGTTCCCGTCGTGCACACGCTCAGCCTCAGACGTGTTTAAAGTCGACCTCCTGATGGATAAAAACATCGGGGGAGCGTCCTCCTGACGTAGTTGGAGCTGCTCAGTTAACACTTTTAACGCCTCAACAAAAGGTAATTTTCTATCACAATGTGATAGACGATAATGTTTTTTGAATCTTGAATCTTGAATCTCACAAGAGCTGTGTTTAAACCTCGGTTTATTCTCCAGAGGCGGTGAAGAGCTTCTCACAGATCCTCTCACGGAGTCTGAGGGTCTCTGGGGATTCTCCTGTTTTTATTTCCACCTCTTTGTTTCTCTAAGTGAGGTCCTGCACTGATGTGCCGTCATCGTTACCATCCTGATTTACTCCCAGGAGTGATGAATAATACATGACCAGATCAAACCGCCTCACTTTATTTAATGTAATGTATGCACAGCTTGTAGAGTTACATCAAGGAGCTTTAAGGGTTAATGTCTGTTTGCATGAGTCACATCCTCATGGAGCATGTTCTCTGCAGTTTGAGCACTCATAGTTTGTGTCCCTGAACGTCGGCCTCTAAACGTAGTCACAACATTTCTGCTAACTTTCGCCTCCACTCAACCTCAAGAAATAAGTCAGTGTAAATCTGACAGAGTGATACATCCTCACTTTTTCATTTCTTTGTGTTGAACAGAAACAACAGTCGTCGTCCAAAACGAACAATGCAGACGCGGAAGCACGGCTACTGCTCGTTCAAAAATAAGATAAGATAAGATAATCCTTTATTTATCCCACAACGGGGAAATTTACATTGTTACAGCAGCAAAGAGCAAAGATTGCAAACAGAAAGTGAACACAGTACTACAGTATTTAAATGAAAAAATAAAATAAAAAAAAGTAAAAAAAATAGATCATTTCTGTTCTTTCGTTTGTATTTTAATTTCTGTTTTGTTACCTTTGGGCATTGTTTAGTCGATCGTTCCTCCACAGAGATGTTTTTATAATCCACACAACTCCTCTTGCAGATAAAGACAGGACCTTCAATGCCGCTCTGCTCATTTTCTGGACTGCTGTCCAGGTCTTGTTCTCGTGATATTTTAACAATGTCTGCAGATAAATATTCCTAAATCTGGCAGAGACGTCCTCTAAAAAAGGGTCAAACTGGGGGAAACTCTGCCCTAACTATTGTTGCTTTAATTGTCCATCTTCATTCCATCCCTCACCTGTGGTCATGATCTTTGGATAGTGACAGAAAGAATAAGATCGCGACAAGCGTCTGAAATGAGTTCCCTCTGGAGGGTGTCTGGGCTCAGCCTTAGAGAGATGGGGAGAAGCTTAGACGTTCAGGAGGAGCTCGGAGTAGAGCCGCTACTCCTTCACATCTAAAGGAAGAAGTCGAGGAGGTTCAGGCTTCTGATCAGGATCCTCCTGGACGCCTCACTTTTTCTTTTTTCAGGGACGCCTAACTGGGAGGAGACCTCGGGGTAGATCCAGAGCTCACTCAAGGAATTATAGATCCCGTCTGGCCTGGGGATGTCTCAGAATCCTCCAGGAGGAGCTGGAGAACGTCTGATACACATAGTTTGTCACGCATGATCAAACCTGTGCTGGTTTCTGTCTTTGTTTCTGTAGTTCATACCTTCACTGTAAATGGGCGACTCTGGAGGAGCTGGAGAAAGATCCCAGAATCCACCAGAAGATCAAACGCTTCAGGACCAAACAGGCTCAGATGAAACACCTGTTCACCGAGGTAACAGGACGCCACTCACTCACATTTTCAGTCTGTGGAACTGCCTTCTTGTTTATGTTCTCTGCTGATTCCTGGTGGACACTCGAGGAACTGCAGCATTTTGCACTTCCACACCGGCGCCTGGAAATATTACAAGTTCAAGTAAACTCCTTACAAGGAGCAGTTCTCAGGGGCTAAAACGTTATGAGGCAACTTGTAAGGAAGCTGCTGAGTCCCACTTAAGATGTAAATTTTTTATAAAGATGTAATTTAAGTTTCTTTGTTTGGGTCTTAAAAGTCTTACATTTTTTAGAAATTGGCAGATACCCTGAATAACTTTCATCGTATTTTACAGATAATTGTTTCACAAAGTGATCGTTTTTTTGTCTACCCGTCCTTCTCCATCTTTAGCCTGACGAGGACATATTTAACCCGGACTACATCGAGGTGGACCGGGTGCTGGAGGTGGCTGTTACCACGGATACGGAGACCGGAGAGGTGGGTCCAATAACAGCGCAGTTACTTTGCTTTAAAGCAGTTATTACACTGCTTGTCATGTGTATCAAACACACACACATGAACTGTGTGTCTGTGTGTAGGAGGTGACGCACTACCTTGTGAAGTGGTGCAGTCTGTCCTACGAGGAGGCCACCTGGGAGCTGCAGGAGGACCTGGACCCCGAGAAGATCAAGGAGTTTGAGGGGATCCAGAAACTGCCGGCAGACCTCAGACACATGGTGAGTAGACCCGGGAGACGGAGAGATTGAAAGGAGGTGAAGAGTGTTGAAATGTTTGGACACACAGAGAGAGAGAGCGAGAGAGAGAGAGAGGAGGGAAACAGAGAACACATACATGAACACCGGCTCAGCTTAAACTAGCCTCCATATGCAAACACGGGATGATAAAGTCCCAGAGCCACGTTGTACGGAATCGAACCTGCATCGCACAGCTGCCCACCTTGCACCACCGCCACCACCCTCGTTTCAGGAGCAGTCCTCTTGAAACGATCCAGATGTGCTTAGGAGTGCAGATGTAAAAGAACAGCTTTTGAGACATGGGTAGTGATGTAGACGTCTGGATGCAAACTCTTACTCTTACTTCTTTAATCATCAACATTAAGAGTTTAGGTTGGTAGACAGGGCAGAAAGGGAAAGTGAACAACATCGTCTTGTCTTTATGTTTCATCTCAAATGCTCTCTGAGGAACCAGACAAGCTTCTTGCCCACAAACAACAACCTCAGATTTGTCATGTCGGCCTCGTTTTCTGTTTCCATGCTAATGAGACGAACACAATGAGAGCTGCGTGCATCTCTGTCTTCTCTGCAACATCAGGTTTGTTTGTTTGTGTTGGGAGGTGAGGTGACGATTTTAAAAACCCTCACAGCGTGAAACATCTTTAGTTCTGTGCACGACAATCCTCTCCTCGTCTGTGCAGAGATATTTATTCTTGTTGGTCTTCAGTCTTTCTGTGTGTTTTCTGTCCTGCATGTTTCGTAGGAAAATTAACCACTTAAAAAGCTGAACTATCATCTCTTATCACAGCTGATCTATTGCATTCCTCAAATCATAATTTGTTTATTTAAACCCCCGGATCAGAGACCAGAGCCTTTCTCTTAATGCTGAAATATTCTGACAACCCATTTTCTTCATTCCGGATTCATCAGGGGAAATAGCCCTGATACTCTCGTCGTTCTTCAAGTGGATTAAATCTCCTCGTGAAGATGAATCCTCCAGATTTAAAACTGTCAAAATGTATAAAACGTTGAGTTTAGTTTGTTAATTGTTGTTGGAATAAAAAGGTTCTGAACCCACTTGATGAAGGAATAAGATCTCTCTAAGATGTTTGTTTGTTTGTGTTTTTTTTATCACAGGAGCGTCCTGTTCCAGACAAATGGCAGAAGTTGGATCACTCCAGAGATTACAGGAATGGAAACCAGCTCAGAGAATACCAGTTAGAGGGGATGAACTGGTTACTGTTCAACTGGTACAACAGGTGAGACCGAACACACAAACACACCAGAGGCGGTCTGGACAGGTGGACTGGATGAGGTTTAAACTGGAGTTTAACTGTCTGTGTCCCTCTGTAGGAAAAACTGCATCCTGGCCGACGAGATGGGTTTGGGAAAAACGATCCAGTCCATCACCTTCCTGTACGAGATCTTCAGCATGGGGATCCGCGGGCCCTTCCTCATCATCGCCCCCCTGTCCACCATCACCAACTGGGAGAGAGAGTTTCGTACGTGGACACACTTAAACGTCATCGTGTATCACGGCTCGCAGATCAGCCGGCAGATGATCCTGCAGTACGAGATGTTCTACAGAGACTCACAGGTAACAATTTTATAAAGACTCACAGGTAACGACTCTGTAGAGACTCACAGATAATGACTCTGTAGAGACTCACAGATAATGACTCTGTAGAGACTAACAGGCAACGACTCTGTAGAGACTCACAGGTAATGACTCTGTAGAGACTCACAGGTAATGACTCTGTAGAGACTCACATGTAATGACTCTGTAGAGACTCACATGTAATGACTCTGTAGAGACTCACATGTAATGACTCTGTAGACTCACATGTAATGACTCTGTAGAGACTGACATGTAATGAATCTGTAGAGAATCACATGTAATGACTCTGTAGACTCACATGTAATGACTCTATAAAGACTCACAGGTAACGACTCTATAAAGACTCACAGGTAACAACTCTGTAGAGACTCACAGGTAATGACTCTGTAGACTCACAGGTAAGGCATCAATAACATGGTCTTAAAGGTACAAGGTGTAGGCAGCAGCCTTTTATCTATTCAGGTGACTACGTCATATCGTCATGGGGATACTGATGTGCAGGAATGAAATGTTCACCAAATGCTGCTCGCTCTGCTGTGACTCATCTCACGTTGGTGCTACAACTGTTTGTTGTTGTTTTCCAAAACACTTGGCGGGTAAAAAACTGAAGTGTAAGTGTGTCCATTCAAAGTTGTTTTTGTCCCTGACAGGCTCCGGTTGTCATTCTAAGTGTGTGACGTTACAGAAAGGATCCCTGCAGAGAGAGAGCTTTCTGTTTTAAACCACAATCAGCTGTGACATCACTCTTCACAAACACACCACATCACATTCAGAGGATCAGAGATATTCTGACGGTCTGTGCTCCTTCCTGTAATGATGTCACACACTTAGGGTGCATTCACATTGGGTCCTGTTGTCCCGTACCATGCTTAAGAACGATTTGGGCAGAACTGAATATTCAGAGTCAGCTCAACAGCTGTTCAACACTCTACAAACTCGATGAAGACGTTGGAGAAAGACGTGCAGTGAAGGGTCACTGTAGCTGCTGCATGATGTCCTTCCTTTAGCCTCTTTTAACGTTATAATAACAATGCACCACTCTCTCTCTCTCTCTCTCTCTCTCTCTCTATCTGTGGCCTGCAGGGGAACACTATCCCGGGGGTGCTGAAGTTTCATGGCGTGATCACCACCTTCGAGATGATCATGGCCGACTGTCCCGAGCTGAAGAAGCTGCACTGGCGCTGCGTGGTGATTGACGAGGCTCATCGCCTGAAAAACAGGAACTGCAAACTGCTGGAGGGACTCAAACTCATGAACCTGGTGAGTCGCTTTGTGTCCGCCTCTGCAGCTGGCAAAAAGCTTTTCATGTATAGATACAGATTTGTTTTGGTTTCTATGTAATTTGTTGTTCTCTTGTTATGTACTCCCAGCTGTTTTCACGTCTGTTTTTGTATTATTTTTACATCAGCTTGAATAAAATGCAAGCAGGAGGCTCTGTTGAACAAAAAGTCTCCTCTGTTTTTGAAACAGGAACACAAGGTTCTGCTGACAGGGACTCCTCTGCAGAACTCGGTGGAGGAGCTGTTCAGTCTGCTGAACTTTCTGGAGCCGCTGCAGTTCCCTTCCGAGAGCTCCTTCCTGGAGGAGTTTGGAGACTTGAAAACGGAGGAGCAGGTATGTTGACAGAAAAGCCTCAGAGAGAGAGAGAGAGAGACAGAGTTACATATCACTCCTTTAAACTTTATAGAAGAAGAGATCTAACTCTTTCATTTCCACCCCTGTCCATCCTCCTCCTCCTCCTTCCTCCTCTTGCTCTTGCTCCTCCTCCTCTTCCTCCTCCTCCTCCTCCTCCTCCTCCTCCTCCTGCCATGGTTCCCCGTACAGGTAAAGAAGCTTCAGGCCATCCTGAAGCCGATGATGTTGAGGAGACTGAAGGACGACGTGGAGAAAAACCTGGCGCCCAAAGAAGAAACCATCATAGAGGTGTGTGTGTGTGTGTGTGTGTGTGTGTGTGTGTGTGTGTGTGTGTGTGTGTGTGTGTGTGTGTGTGTGTGTGTGTGGCTGTGGCTGTGGCTGTCTCTGTGCGTTTGTTTGTGCAGAGACAGGGAATCTGCTTGTGGCTGTGTTAATTTTTGCAGTCGTACAATCAAAATATCAAACATGACAGAAGATCATCTGATTAATTGGGAGCAGCTGCATGGGACGGGATTGGCTGTTGTGACTCAGTGTACACTGTGTGAACAGTGCATGTCTTTCTCTCTCTGCGTAAAGCTGAGCTGAGGCAACTTAAACGCAGAATTCAAGGGTAGACTTTCACGTTCTGACCGCTTGTAGCGGAGTTCAAACATCAGCACTGTCGTCAGGTCAGACACACACACACAGAGAGTGGCAGGAGAAAAGACTTGTGTGAAGGAGAAACAAAGACAAAACATGTGCATAATTAAAACATAATCAAAGTTTCGACTTCTTTCTCCCGTGCAGGTGGAGCTGACGAACATCCAGAAAAAATATTACCGAGCCATCTTAGAGAAGAACTTCTCCTTCCTGTCGAAAGGAGCCAACCAGCACAACATGCCCAACCTCATCAACACCATGATGGAGCTCCGCAAGTGCTGCAACCACCCCTACCTGATCACAGGTACACACACACGCACTCGCACACACACACATGCATGCACACACACACACACACACACACACACACACACACACACACACACACACTAACTGCAGACAGTCTAAACAAAGAAGTTAAGATAACTGCAGCACACACTTTCTGTACTTGAGGACACTGAGGATGAGTTTTAATCCTCCTCGTTTCGTCTTGTCTCTCAGGAGCGGAAGAGAAGATTCTGGAGAGCTTCAGGAAGTGCCATAGTCCCGACGCTCTGGATTTCCAGCTGCAGGCGATGATCCAGGCGGCGGGGAAACTGGTGCTGATCGACAAGCTGCTGCCCAAACTGCTGGCGGGGGGACACAAAGTCCTCGTCTTCTCCCAGATGGTCCGCTGCCTGGATATCCTGGAGGACTACCTCATCCAGAGACGGTGAGGAGGCTGAATCATCACCTCCGGAGTGGATGATAGCAGGACTCTTAAGTGTTGAAATTTAATCATTTTAATTTGTTGTGACTTTTGGGTATTTCATCAACACTAAAACATGACGGAAAGCTGAATAACACAATTCTTGAGGCTAATCCTTATTTGTTTAGTAATGAGTCAGCCTCTCAGTGTTCTTTAGCATTTGTAGAGTCTGTTGGGGTACAAACTGTTATTACTTTAACCATTAACCAACAACATACGACACAACTATGCCACAGCTTGATGTCTGCTTTGCTTAAACAACAAACCAAAATTAAATCTTCCTTGGAAAAGAGAATTTTCTTCAGAAGAATCCCTTTAGGATTAAAAGATTACTGTGCATTAACAGTGCAATAAAGCTGTTTTTTGTTTTAGAGCCTCGCACGGGGCACCGTTATGTCAGGGTTTTATATAGTCAAATTTAGTTATAATATTCCCATTCAGAACGTTTTTAAAAAATGTTTTGGAATGTTGTTTGTGTATTGTCTTTTTGTCTCAAGAACGTGAGTGGGGAGAAAAAATAAAAATTAAAGTTTGTTGGAAATGGCAGGAAAGGAGGGCAAAGAGAGGAAAAGTGAAGCAACATTTGGCTTAAAGGATGCATTTATTACCTCTGACATTGATGTGCATGTTTCCTGCAGCTACACCTACGAGCGCATTGACGGCCGTGTGCGGGGGAACATGCGGCAGGCAGCCATCGACAGGTTCTGTAAGCCGGATTCGGACCGCTTTGTGTTCCTGCTGTGCACCAGAGCCGGAGGTTTGGGGATCAACCTGACGGCTGCAGACACCTGCATCATCTTCGACTCGGACTGGAACCCTCAGAACGACCTGCAGGTGAGCACGAAGCAAGTTTTTGAATACACAGACAGATGATGTTAATAGCCTGAGATGAGGATGAGAAGGGCGGTGCATGCTTTTACTCGATTTAATTTGAATTCCTCGTCTTTTGACCCCTGAATGATACAGCTTCCTAATCTTTTGGCTCATCACATGGTACATTAACTGATGAAACATTACGTAACAATCTGTTAGGAAGACTGAGCAACTTTTTGATCCAGTCGATGTTGGACTTGACCGCCAGCATTAAACCAAAACAAACCCAGCAGCTGGATAAATGAGATCTTTAAAACCCGAGATGAACTGCTGATTTATTTCCTGTATTTTCTGTCTTCCCCAGGCCCAGGCCCGCTGTCACCGGATTGGTCAGAGCAAAGCGGTGAAGGTGTACAGGCTGATCACCAGGAACTCGTATGAGAGGGAAATGTTCGACAAAGCCAGCTTGAAGCTCGGGCTGGACAAAGCCGTCTTGCAGGACATCAACCGCAAAGGAAGCCTCAACGGGGTCAGAGACCACTCCTTATGAGATACTCTCACATATGTGCACTTCTTCTAATCAGGAGTTATAAGAGTATAATCTTTAACCTGTGCTGTGATTGTGTTTGTTGCAGGTTCAGCAGCTGTCCAAGCTGGAGTTGGAGGATTTGTTGAAGAAAGGAGCGTACGGAGCTCTGATGGATGAGGAAGACGAGGGTTCCAAGTTCTGCGAGGAGGACATCGATCAGATCCTGCAGAGACGCACTCAGACCATCACCATCCAGTCTGAAGGGAAAGGCTCCACGTTTGCCAAGGTACGGTTCCTTAAACATTTAGAAAGAGATACAAAAGTATCCGGGCTGCAGGGTTGTGCAGTGGTTAGCGCTGTCCCCTCACAGCGAGGCGGTTCATGGTTTGAATCCCCGTCTAAGAGGAGTCTCTCTGTGTGGAGTTTACATGTTCTCCCCGTGCATGTGTGGGTTCTCTCCGGGTACTCCGGCTTCCTCCCACAGTCCAAAGACATGCTCGTTAGGTTAACTGCTGACTCTAAATTGTCCGTAGGTGTGAGTGTGGCTGGTTGTCTGTCTCCATATGTCAGCTCTGTGATTGGCTGATGACAGTCCAGGGTGTAACCCCGCCCCTCGTCCTATGACAGCTGGGATCGGCTCCAGCCTGCCCGCAACCCTGAACTGGAAAAGTGGTGAAGATAATGGATGAATGGACATAAAGTATCTGTCCACGAGCCCTTGTCGGTAACAACTTGTCTCTGGACGCCGGTTTCCCTCGGTCACCCAGTTCCCACGGAGTTGTCGCCCACAGGCTTCCCTGCTGTTGACCGAGTTTTGAATTAGGCGGCATGAGTGTGATTAACCAATAGGATGCTTTGAATAAAATCAGCTGGCCATCAGCTGTTCTCCGTGGCCTAACTAACTGTGTCTCTCTGCTCTTCTCTCTTCAGGCCAGTTTTGTCTCCTCTGGGAACAGAACGGACATTTCTCTGGACGACCCCAACTTCTGGCAGAAGTGGGCGAAGATCGCGGAGGTGGAGATCGACTCCAAATCTGAGAAGGTAGGAAGAAATGTAGAAAGATGAGATTTAAGAAAGGAAGCAGGAGAGGAGGGAAGGAACAAGTCTTAAAAGACGAGAGAGACACGATAGTGAGGTGAAACCTGAACCAGAGAGCAGGATGTGGTCTCCCTGCTCAGGTAAGAAGAAGGTAAGAGGAGGAGAACGAGAGCGACATATGGACAGGAAAGGAAAAAGGATCCAAGCTGAGTTAGCAGACGGAAAGATGAAGGAAGGAAGGGAGTTAAAACGAGCTCAGAACGTGGAAACAGAGAAAACAAGGGCAGCGAGGAAAGGAGGGTAAAACTGAGGATGAGGGAAACATCTCGTTCTGCCCTTTACCCTCTCTTTTACAGTTTTCATCACTTTTTCTGGAAGACTTTCTCTTTGTCTTTTGTTAGTCATTTTGCATGTATCCCTGTTTCCCGCCTTCTGAGGCCGAGTCCACACGGAGGCGGGTATGTTTTTTAAATCAAGGTTTTTCATCCTCTGTTGAAAAGGAGAATCCCATCCACACGCGCGTAATTCTCAAAAACATCTTGGTCCACATGAAAACACAAAATAACACTGTTCTGGCTGTCATGAGAACGCCAAGTCAACAACTTTTGTGCCAACTCTTCCTGTGTCCATGACATGAGAGCATTTGCTCACCTATTTTCAAAGTAGTCCGACTGGGTCTCGTCCAAACCGCTGACGTTGGGGGCAGGGTTTATGTGGTGGGAGTGTTGTCTGAATCAGTAGTGACCTCCTGTCGTCCAATCAGGCGTCTCTGCTCGTCAACATAGTGGAGAGTAACTGTGTGTGTGAGCATGTAAAAAGTCCAGTTAGCAATGTTAGCACCAGCGCTAGTTTGGTTACGTCTGCCATCGCCCTAATCTCATGTAAACTGAAGTGACAGTGTCGCACGATGACATCACACGGAGGAGAAACTGGCGAAAAACCAAACGTTACACGAACCCCGTCTACACAGAAACATCTTGAACGCAGTGGAGATTCTAGAGTCTGTTGGGGTCCTCCAACCAGTGTCCATCCCCATCATGTCTGCCAGAGGACTCCTCATCCTCTTCTTTCTCTCCCGTAAACGGATCATTCCTCTTCATTGTTCTTTGTTGTTTTCATTGATGAACTTTGGTTTTCACAGCGATAATGCTGCAACGCTCAGCAGGGCGAGGAGAGTGAGTGCTGTCAGACCGGGCTCCTTAGGGAGGTTTCCTACTGTCATCTCAAAATGTGCACATTGCTTTGGTTTAAGTTTGTGAGCCCTCGGAGGCACCAAGCAGTCGCCTGCCTTGCCTGTTGACGAGCAGCGCATCTTTTCTTTTCATATTTCTTCTTCCTTACTCTCTCTCTTTCCTGCTTCCTGTCATTTTTTTTTACGCTTCCCTTTTCCCTCGTTCTCGTCTCCCACTTTCCTTTCTCTCCTTCCCCGCTTGGAGCAGATGGAGCGCCTTAATGAATGAAGCAGATTGCACACCGATCGCGGCTGCTGTCTGTGTGTGTGTGTGTGTGTGTGTGTGTGTGTGTGTGTGTGTGTGTGTGTGTGTGTGTGTGTGTGTGTGTGTGTGTGTGTGTGTGTGTGTGTGTGTGTGTGTGTGTGTGTGTGTGTGTGTGTGTGTGTGTGTGTGTGTGTGTGTGTGTGTGTGTGTGTGTGTGTGTGTGTGTGTGTGTGTGTGTGTGTGTGTGTGTGTGTGTGTGTGTGTGTGTGCCATGCCTCGTGCCTTTAATCCTCAATCATCGACTCCCTCTGTGCACAGACGTGTTTCTCTGCTATCTCACCTGCTTCTTCTGTTCTCCTCCTCTCTGCTTCAGGAGTCTCTGGTGATCGACACGCCCCGGGTCAGGAAGCAGACTCGTCACTACAACTCGTTCGAGGACGACGAGCTGATGGAGTTCTCGGAGCTGGACAGCGACTCGGAGGAACGGCCGTGTCGGACTCGGCGGCTTGGCGAGCGCAGCAGGCGGTACCTCCGAGCCGAGTGCTTCAGGGTGGAAAAGAACCTGCTGATCTTTGGGTACTTAACACATTCTTCTTCTTCTTCTCTGGCTGGGATGTACACCCCTGACCCCCTAAAAATGTTCAGTTATATGTGCAGAAAGTAACTGAAAAATATTTTATTTTTCTATCTAACGTGAAGAACATTTCCTTAGAAGCAGACATTAAAAGAGATTGTTTTGGCCTAATAATACTCCCCTCTGCTCGCTGCTTGACAGTTGTTTTTCCTTGGACGGCCGAGTAACAAGTTAATAAACACATCATAAGAAACTCTCAGTCGTTTCTAAATAGTAGAAAACGTATATCCTCGATGTCTTGCAGCTTGAATCTTAAAGGAGCAGTATGTAACTCTGACCCCTAGTGTTTTAAACGGGTACTGCAGTCTAAATTCAAAACATTGTAGAGAGCTGTCTCCCCCCGCCCCCTCCTCTCTAGAGTCGATGCTCACGCAAGTTGCCATGAGGTGGACACTGAAGCTTCAGTGTTTCGCCAGCTCACTTTATCATTTCACTCACTACACATCTCACTGACTGGACCTTAAAATGTATGTCTGCATGTTTGTACTGACAGCTGAGGAGTGCGGTGACCGACGGCTGAGCAAACTTCTTTTTGTTATTAGATTCTTATAATCAGGTGTTTCAGCTGTCAGTTCTGTGCCTATATTTCCTGTTCATATCTCTCTGTGTCCGTCCAGGTGGGGTCGGTGGAAGGACATCCTGAACCACGGCCGCTTTAAATGGCACCTTGCAGAGAGAGACATGGAGGCGATCTGTAGGTAAGAAAAACGAGATTCACATCATTAACTTTGTGATTAATGAATCACAAATCTGGAAACTTAAGAAACAGCGACAGGAATATCATTATAAAAAACAGGATGTCACTTCAGTAGATGTGTTCAATGGTTGACAAAGACTTTAGAAATTAGTCAACCAAACTCCATTCAATAAACAAGCATTTTTAAAGTTGATTGCGTCTCATCCTGCAGACGGACTGGACTAATCATTTTGGTCCAGCCGTGCATGAGGTCAGTGTGAAAAGCAGAATGTTAATGATTTGTTGTTGTTGTTGTTGTTGTTGTTGTTTAGGGCTCTGCTGGTTTATTGTCTGAAACACTACAAAGGAGACGACAAGATCAAGAGCTTCATCTGGGATCTGATCACACCCACCAAAGAGGGCCAGGACCAGGCGCTGCTCAACCACTCGGGTTAGACTTTCACACGTAACCTGCACTACAATTACAACCCATTATTCCATCCATTCTCAGCGGCTTATCAGAGGTCGGGTCGTGGTGGCAGCAGATGAAGATAAGTCAACCCAGACTTCCATCTCAGCAGCAACATTTCCTCAGGGGAGGGGATCTCAGGCGAGACAGGATATATAATCCCCGCAGCATGATCTGGGTCTACCCCGGGGTCTCCTCCAAGTTAGGCGTGCCCTGAAAAGGCGTCCAGGTGGATCCGAATCAGATTGGCAAGCGTGATCCGCCATCGGAGGGCCCCCGCCTGCCGGTCTCGTGTCCGGTGTTCGGGTGGACGGTTTCTCCGGCTTGCGGATTCGCCTCTATGGCCGGGAGGGCTCAGTGCGGAAAAGCGAAAAACTTGTGTTTCCCTCAACAGGCTCCTGCTGTGAAGGAGTAGCGGCTCTACTCCGAGCTCCCCCTGAATGTCTGAGCTCCTCCCCCCCTCTCTAAGTCTGAGCCCAGACTCCCTCCAGAGGAAACTCATTTCAGACACTTGTATCCCCGATCTTCTTCGTTAAGTCACTATCCAAAGATCGTGACCACAGGTGAGGGTTAGAACGACAATCGAGCGGTAAATCGAGAGCTTTGCCTTCAGTCTCTGCTCCCTCTTCACCACGACGGATCAGTACAACGCCCGCATTACAGCCGACGCTGAGCCAATCCGCCTGTCGATCTCACGCTTCATCTTACCCTCACTGTAAACCTCAAGAACCCCGAAAACTGCTGGAGGTCGCAGCACGAGCACTTCAGTCAGCATTGACGCTTTAGTCGTCTACAGAGGGAGAGATGCGCTCCTGTTCTACGCAGTCCTCCTGTGCATACATTACCCACAATGCAACTGAACAGATATCAACGGTTTTTCTCATAGCAGCTGATTAAGTCTTGTACTGCTGACCTGCAGGCTTCGCCGTTTGTAAGACGTCCTATTTAACGCTAAAACGTTTCAGACTCGTCGTTTTCTGACCCGACCAGGGCGATGGCGTGGGTGCTGGAAGTTGTAACGTTTTATGAAATGAAAAGCCTCCCTTTCAGCTTTTTGGCACATCACTTTGAGTTCATAAGATTCCTAGAAACTGATTACCTTAGCGGGTTGGCCATCATGACGAAGTCGTTAACCACGTCTCTCCATCTCTCCCGTCAGGTCTGTCGGCGCCGGTCCCTCGTGGCCGTAAGGGGAAGAAGCTGAAGAACCAGCAGAATGTTCCCGAGCTGAAGAACGCCGACTGGCTGGTCCACTGTAACCCGGAGGTCGTTCTGCAGGACGAGAGCTACAAGAAACACCTGAAACAACACTGCAACAAGTCAGTTTCCTCCTTACTCAGCGTGTTTCCTTTAAAAGCTTAATATGCGATTTTTCACACTTACATGTAAAGCCTTTAACAGGACCGAGCCGGACGTTAAAACGCAGAAATAAAACAGTCGCTGAACAGGGTCAGGACGTGGCCTCTCACTGCGCCTCGTCATGAATCTTACGATCCTCCTTCTCTCCTCAGGGTGCTGCTGAGGGTCAGGATGCTGTACTACCTGAAGGTGGAGGTTTTAGGTGAAGCTGCTAATCAGTCTATGGAGGGAGTTCCTGCCAGGTATGGGACAGCGACTTCATGCAGTTTCTTCTCTTGATGATTGATTGATGATTTAGCCCTAATAATTAAACCAAAAATGTCTAAGTGAGGCGTAGCTCCTCATTGGCTAGATAGGGGACAAAAAAAACACTTTAAAGGGATACTTCACCTGTTGAAACATGAATCTGTATTGACATTGGGTCATATATGTAGTAGAAATGTGAAATAAATTTGAAGTTGGTGACTTCTTGGCCGAGAAAAGGCAGAAAGTGTCTTTTTGGCTCATGTGGATGAAAGACACCAAATCCCAGAATGCACAGCACCGCAGCCGTCTCGCCGCTATATTTATATTTTTTCGCCATTATCAGCTTTCTCCATAGAGCCTGTTAGCATAGCTTGCAAGCAATTCGGTGGACGTTAAGTTTGGATTCTGGGAGTGAGTTCCCACCCACTGATCTGTGATTGGTCTGTAGCTTCAGTAGTCGAAAATATGAGGAACTAGCGTTGTAGTTTCACCCCGCTAACGGCAACAGCTTCCAATGACCCAAAATGAAGATTTTTGCATCACTGTGGAAGCTCCTTTTCAGACTCAGAAATACAAAGATTTCCCATCTCAGGGGAAAATGAGGGCGGGATGCACGACCATTCAAAAATACTACCAGGTTTCTAATGATACAAAGCTTAATGCAAATGGGTGAAGTATCCTTTTAAAGGTAAAAAAAAAAAACGTACTGACTGTAAAATCAAATCTAATAAAGGAAGACACATGATGAGACTTTTAATAGTAACGACATCTCGTGGTTAACTTCTGACCAGAGAGGTCAAAGGTTACACAACTCAAAGATCATTTCAGGCTCATGAGGCTCCAAAGGAGCAGAGTCAGATAAATGTTGTGACTTCTTGATTGATTGGATGCTTTTGTCTTCCTGTTGGATTAAACTGAAAATCTAGCGATTGAAATAAAGATGCCTGCAGGTCTGTAGTGGACTGGCTGGATGTTTGTCTGCTAGTGACTTCAGAGTCCTGACTCCACCCTTTGTGTGTGTGTGTGTTGACAGTAAACTGGAGGTGTCACTCCCCGACATCGACTACATCGAGATCCCGGCGTCGTGGTGGGACGCAGACGCCGACAAGTCTCTACTGATCGGAGTCCACAAACACGGTGAGAGCTGCTGGAGACAAACAGCTTCACGCTTTACTGACGGGATGAAAACATTAATGATATGAAATGATTTGACTCGCCGCGGTGGAGAGTCGTAATTTAAATGCATCTGTTTTTTATGTGTATATGAAGTGCGTTATAGCCACCAGTTTTAATTGTGTGTGTGTGTGTGTGTCCTCGTACAGGTTACGAGCGCTACAACGCCATGCGAGCCGATGCAGACCTGTGTTTCCTGGAGAGAGTGGGGATGCCCGACGTCACCGCTCTGTCTGCTGAACAGGGAGGAGGGGAGGGGGCTGCAGACCTTGCAGACAGGTAGAGTGAACGCCAACACCTGCACACACACACACACACACACACACACACACACACACACACACACACACACACACACACACACACACACACACACACACACACGCACCCACAACACAAACAGACCGCCATTTCAATCCGTGATATTTACGCCCCTGTGACGTTTCTCCTTCCATCTGAATGTTGTGGAGACTTAATGGGGGCATGACCCCCCCCTCTGTACCGTCTTCTGAGGTGAGCAGAGGTGTTACAGAGGAGCAGAGGTGTTACAGAGGAGAGACAGGATCAGCTGATCCAGCGGGGAGCGTTGTGTGTGTGTGTGCATGTCTGGCTGTGTTGTTTATGTGGAGCTCCCGCTGTGCCGTGCTCTCTCGTGTTTTTAATTGTCGCAGTAAAACTCCTCTGCCAGGATGGAAACGCTGCTCAAGTGTTCACCCTCTACATCCAGCATGCAACATTCAGGCGTCAGGTGCTCACTTCCATCTTTGATTTCTTCTTCTCTTCTCTGAAACATCGTTGCAGCTGCAGGTGTCGTTTCTGCAAAGTGTTTAAATTTTGCCGTAACCTTCTGCCGAGCTCTGAGCAGCTGGACGCTCATTCCCTCACAAGAGCTGCGAATTGAAACCACACAGGTCACTTTCTTTGCTTTAACAAGTGCTGCAAGAAGACCTGTATGATATTTAAAAATCCAGAAAGGAAGAATTGACCGAGAGCCCGAGGGAAGCGGTGTGTGAAACGGGTTTCTTGGCTGCTGCGGAGCGATGAAGATGAGCTCTCAGGATGCTTTGATCGTCCTCCTGGAGGAAATTGAAGCCGTCACTCGTTTTGTCACTGGTTCGACCTGGAGCTGTTCCCAGCTGAGCGTGCAGACTGCATGTGAGTGTGACCTCTGCTTGATACGCAGAAGAAGAAAACTTTAGGGGATGAGTCTGTGCTCACAGACAGACAGCTCTTTAGAGATGTTGCGGAAACTTCACCAAAGATATCACCGCTCTGCGCAGATCGTGTGGAAGACAAAGTCGGTGTTTCTGAAGCTTTAAAGTTTTTACATTTAGACTCAAAGTCTTCTAAAAGAATTGCCAGTCCGGTTTGTTTAGAGCTCTTACAACTCGGTGCCCGGTTTACTTCCCTCCCTTTTGTTTCTCTTTCCAGTGTTTGCAAACCGGAGGAGACGAAGGACGAAGCAGAGAGCAAAGCTGACGGAGGAGAGGACCGAGACGAGAGCAGCAAGGTGAGGTCACATCCTGAGGTCACATCCTGAGGTCACATACTGAGGTCACATCCTGAGGTTACATCCTGAGGTCACATACTGAGGTCACATACTGAGGTTACATCCTGAGGTCACATCCAGAGGTCACATCCAGAGGTCACATCCTGAGGTTACATCCTGAGGTCACATACTGAGGTCACACCCAGAGGTCACATAATGAGGTCACATCCTGAGGTCACATCCTGAGTTCATATCCTGAGGTCACATACTGAGGTCACATCCTGAGATCACATACTGAGGTTACATCCTGAGGTCACATACTGAGGTTACATCCTGAGGTCACATACTGAGATCACATACTGAGGTTACATCCTGAGGTCACATACTGAGGTCACATCCTGAGGTCACATACTGAGGTCACATCCTGAGGTCACATCCTGAGTTCATATCCTGAGGTCACATACTGAGGTCACATCCTGAGTGCACATACTGAGTTCATATCCTGAGGTCACATACTGAGGTCACATCCTGAGTGCACATACTGAGGTCACATCCTGAGTCACATCCGGACCTCGATGGACCCGTTCTTGACAGCCTTGCTGCGATCTCTTTGGATTAAGAGCCTCATTCAGTGAATCATTCCTTTGGGAAGTCTTTCTTTAGTATCAGATCCTTTTTATGGATCTGTGAGGCTCTGAAGTCCCATAAAAACTCGACTGTAGAGTCAATGATGCATTTTAAAACAACAACAAACAAGTGATCAGAAAGTTCATCTCTGAACTCTTTTTAGCGGCTTCTTTTATTCGTTTTTGATCGAGACGTTTGCTTTTGTTTTAGATTTCTGATGTTTTCTGACAAACTGGCAAAACGTGTCTCCGTTTTTTAAGGCTGGAGTGTAGCGTTCCATTTATCTCAGATCTGATGTCAGAGCTGAGAATGACATCACACCCGAGTTTACATTACAGTTACGAGTTGGTATAAAGTCAAAAGCAGCATGGAAAGAGTACCTTTTTTATGTTGTAAGCTAACACCAGACAAACACAACACACTGCATGACACCAAAGCAACGTGACGACACGTCCACAGAGAGAACTTGACGGTTGACACAAAAACAAGACTCGGGGTTCGATGACTCAGAGAGAAAAGCTCAGAAACGTTCTCATCTCTGCTGCTGCACAACACACTTTTCTAGCGGTTTTTGGGGCGCACTTAAAATGCAACTTTTCAGCTCAAGACGTAGAGTCTCAGCGCTCGTCAATGTCACTTTCAGACGAAGCAGCCAATCAAATCAAGTAGGAGGCTTTACCTCCTCTTCGTCTCCGAGCAAAGCAACAACGAGAGCTCTACATTTGCTCGATCCATTTTCTCCCACTTATTTTATTTGGTCGCCCATATGCACACAGCCTCGCTCCACAGGTGGACAAGTGTCACTTTTCAGAGCAAATACTAAAGAAAGAAAGAAAACACTGAGATTCATCCTCATCAAGGAGTTCAACATATTAAGTTTCAGTGTGTTCTCTGCTTTGCTTCATCCCCTTCAGTGCTCTTTTGTTTTTTGCACCCGATGTTTTACAAACTTAAACTTGTGCACGTTGAAGCTGCAGAAATGAAGTTTAATTTGTGGTGTTCATGCAGACGTCTTCTCTTTAATGTTTGTGTGTTTCATCCTGCAGGGAGAGGAAACCTGCTCGAGCACGGACACTTCAGACAAACCGGACAGCACAGGACCAGGTGAGACATGCTGCTTCAAGAGAGGCACACAACGGGCTGGCTGTGTAGGGGGCGGGGCTTATCAGGGCTGTCAGAGAGAGTGGTTACAGCAGTGTGGGTACTGTGTAGGGGTCGTCGGAGGCTTTTTAGCCGAGTCAGCATGTAGAATCAACCAGTCAGGGAGAGAAATCATGTGACTCTGCACTTTCTCACCTCATGGCCATGTGGACGGAGGGTGTTGAGGATCAGTTGATTCATGAGACACCGTCTCCAAACGACATGACAAAGAAACTTCATTACAGTCGTTTGACCAAGACAGCACACTGGTGTCAAAATAAAGGCCAGCTGGGTATTTGAAAAACCTGCTATTTGTAAATCCTGCTGGGTCCTGGGTCTTCCAGTTTTTCCGATTTGTGTGAAAAATATCAGACTGCCGCCACCCGCAGATGACTCATCTGTTTTGATTTGAAGAAGGATAAGAGTTATTCACAATGAGGCGTGTAGCTGACCTGATTGACAGGTGGGCGCGATGTAACGGTTTTTCAGGAGTCTTAAAACCCGCCTCAGCTCCAGCTCTCAGCCTGTCGTTAGGTTGACTGAAAGTTAGACTGAGACAGCATTTCCAGCATGGAGACCGCCATCGATGGGACTCCAGCGCCCCCTGCAGGAACAGACGAGGGTCGTCACTCAGGCTTTGTTACAGTCTGTGAGAGAAACTCGTCGCAGCTTGTTCTTTGTTGTCAGCTTGGTGTAAACGTGCTTATATAAAGATATCAGTTATCTGTTATTATCAATAAATCTAACTCAGTAAACAGTCAGATATTCAGATATTCTCGTTAAAGATCCACATCATCATCGCTCGTATTTAAGGTCGGGACATTAGCAGCTCTCTGAGGTGCTTTAAGCTTTCTTTTCCAGTAATAAAGTAATAAGTATTCATGTTCTTTATTCCTATAATGAGTCAGACCTTCAGACAATCAGACATAACTCCCTCCTCTTTGCTCTGAGAGCTTCCCCTCCCCCGACGCCTCGCATTCAAACGGCTCTGGCCTTCATCCGAGGTCGCCGCCCCTGCAGAGCGCCGTGAGCCGATGTGTGAAATGAGCTTGGATAGTTTGAACGTCTCTCTCCGTCTCTGTGGGAACATTTAATGGTCATGTGATGGTTGTAAAGCGCTCTGGAGAGGTGTGGAGACATCTTCCACAATTTTAGAACCTCGTCATCGAGCCTTTTTCCTTTTTTTTTTATATTCGCAACATGCAGATACTTTAAGAACATTTAGAGTTTGCTTTTCTAAAGACAGGCTGTTTATGGCGCCGTGTCCACCTGATGTTTTCTTCTGAGTGACGGCTTCTTTTTGCATATGTGACAAATGAGGAGCGAGCATTTGCAGCAGCAGGCGGACACTCTCTTTCTGCCGCTCTTCCGGTTTAAAATCTTTCAGTAGGGCGCTGTTGACGTCATCGCGTTAAACTGTCAGATATTTCCTGTATTTAAGTGTACCTTCATCCTCCTCGCTCCGCGTCTGATCGGTGGCGTGACAGCGAGAAAGTCTTGTTATTGTGAGGTCAGGTGTAACTCGGGTGATTCTTGGTACCCGTGTTTAAAAATCGACCTTAACGGTGACCTTGTAGGGGCAGCTTCACTCACCTGTCCTTCCTCCGCAGACTGCCAGATATCCGGCGACTTGTGCGCTCAGGATGCCACACTGGTCACCACGACGACCACAGGAACTGGTACAGGTGTGGCGGCGCTCCAAGTGGTCCAGGCCCGCCCCCTCTGGCCCACTGGCCCCGCCCTGACGGCGCGTTTGCGGCGCCTGATCACCGCCTACCAGCGCTTCACGCTGCGCCGCGAGCCGCTGCTCAGACACGACTTCCTGCTGCACGACGGCCTGGTCGGCATGGGGATGGGAGGAGGCGGAGCCGCACACAGTCATCACGCGGGGGGGGCGCTGCCGTGGCAGCTCGGGGAGGAGCTGAGGAGGTGCACCGTGGTCGCCACCGAGCCCGACCCGCTGTTTCTGGAGTGGCAGAGAAGGTAGGAAGAAATTTACAAACCGCAGATAAATACTGACGACAAGTTTTTAAATCAGCACATCGGCCTAATGGGATTTATTTTACCGCTGATTCTTTCTGATCTGATCTGATCCAAGATTTTTGTCCGTTTCTAAACCCTGCATTCTCTTAAAAACTGTTAAGATTACCTTCCTCCAGAAATAGTGAGGTTAAGACTTTTAAAAAGTGAAATTCTCTGTTTTCATTCTCCCACTTCTTTTAAAAATTTCTTGAAACTCTGAGAGAGAAGGTTTCACAAAGATCATAAATACTTTTAAGAATTGTTCTCCAAAAGACGCTTATTTCATATTTCTAATGTCAAAATGTCTCAGGTGGACTCGTCGGGAACAGGCAGACTTCTACCGCACCGTGTCGTCGTTCGGGGTGGTGTACGACCCGGAGAGGAAAATCTTCGACTGGTCTCAGTTCCGAGCTCTGGCGCGACTGGAGAGGAAGACGGACGAGAGCTTGGAGAGATACTTCAACTCCTTTGTGAACATGTGCAGGACGGCCTGCAAACTGCCTCCAAGGAAGGAAGAAGGTACAGACTTCACAGAAAGAGGGGGCTTTATATTTACATGTTCTGGTGTCTAAATGACACTTTACCATCACTTTTAATCTTTTTGCTTCCATGCTGATGATCACGTGTCATCGTGCTTTCACACTCGCACAAACTATTCTGATATTTTCATGCTGAGCGTCATGTTTGAACACAAACAATTCTACAATTCACTTAGCAAACGCTTTTATCCAGAGAGACGTACATCAGAGAGTAAGTATAACACAAGCAAGGATCTAGAAAAAAGGGAACAATGTCAGTAAGAGCAAACGATTGGACACACAGGTGCTGACAGGAAGTGACCAGAGGCAAAGCACAACATTGACGGCAGTTCTTGAGAGCTCTAATCAGTATAGAAACAATCTTATAAGTTGTTGTTATCAAACAAAAACCATCGTCATTACCATCATCATCATCAATAATATGGAGACCATCATCATTAAGTTAGTAGGTATTCATGAAAGAGCTGGTCTTTAGCTTTTTCTTAAAGGTGCAGAGGGACTCTGCAGATCGAATGGAGTTTGGAAGTTCAGCAGAATGTTTCTCTCTTCACCCAGAGTTTCTCCTCCAGCCTCCTCGTGTTTATTCTGCAGAAAGTCAGAGTGAGCTGATGTGAGAACGCAGCAGGATATAATCAGGAGAATTCACCTGGAGCGAGTGGGGGGAGGGATAGTCTCCTGCTGTGAGATGCATGTGTGAACAGCCATATCAGGAGAGGAGCAGTCCTCCTGAAGTTCTGCAGATATGTTCAGGAGAGCAGATGTGAAAACAGCTCCCCTCTCTCTCTCTCTCTCATTTCTCTCAGGGTTGGTGGACCCCTCTGTGCTCGTGGAGCCTCTGACAGAAGAGAGAGCAGCGAGGACGTTGTACCGCATCGAGCTGCTGCGGAAGATCAGAGAGCAGGTGGGCTCTTTTCACAAACACTCACATTTATGTCTCCTGGCTTTGAAGAGGAAGAGTTTGATTCGGGCAGTTTAGGTCAAACACCTCCTCCTCTCTAACCTGTGTCCCCCTCCCTCAGGTTCTCCGTCACCCTCTGATCTCGGCCCGCCTCCAGCTGTGCCGCCCCTCCCTCTACCTCCCCGTGTGGTGGGAGTCCGGCAAACACGACCGGGACCTTCTCATCGGGGCTGCGCGCCACGGCCTGAGCCGCACCGACTTCTACATCCTGAACGACCCCCAGCTGAGCTTCCTGGAGGCTCACAGGAACTACGTCAGGGGTCACCCCTCCCACCTCCACGCTCAGAGTCATCATCACCCCCACCACCCGGGGTTAACGACTCACCCCGGGATCTCGTCCTCTTCCTCCTCTTCGTCTCACCCTCAGCTGTCTCACCCTCACTGCTGTCTCTACGACTCCAGTCTGAGTCAACACTCCCCTCAGCCCCCTGAATACCCCCACCAGTCCTCCCACCACCACCAGCACCACCCAGTGCCTCCGTCTGCTCCCTCCCCGTCCTCCTCTCACCCTCACCTTCCACCCTCCCCCGCCTGCCTCCCCCAGCCTGGGGATAGTTCCTGGCTCTCGGGGAGATTTCCTGGACTGCCCCCCTCTGGATGAGACCCTGGAGCTCGGCGCTCTGCACCACGACGCCATGTCTACGGACGGTTTGCACGGAGGGAAGACGGCCAAGGACGCCCTCAACGGCTTCCCGTTTAACTCTGCTGCGGGAGGGCAGAGCATGCTCAACTCGTACGGAGTGGGCGGAGCCGACCTCGACTCCAAACTGAGGAGTGATGTTCTCGTTGGAGAGCAGGGATCGTCGGAGGAAACGGGGCTGATGGCGCCGTCAGTGGAGCTCGATCAGTTACAGGTACACACTGAGGTTAAATGTGTCTGCATTTTATACTGGTATACTGGTCGTACTGGGATCCAGGACACAGTGTACTGATTAGATGAGAACATTGGTATTAAACGTCTTATACCAAAACCAATAAAATGGATCACATCAGTCTAGTTCTGAGGTCTGTACACTGGCTCCCAGTGCTCCCAGTCCTAGAGCGCTTAATGGTTTAGGGCCAAAATACATAAGTGACCTCCTGATTAATTACGAACTATCCAGACCGCTCAGGTGGTCAGGGACAGGTCTGCTCTCTGTCTCCGGAGTCAGAACCAAACATGGAGAAGCAGCGTACAGTTTCTATGCTCCTTATATCTGGAACAAACTCCCAGAAAACTGCAGGTCTGCTGAAACCTTCAGCTCTTTTAAATCGAGGTTGAAGACACACCTATTTACAGCTGCCTTTCATTAAACAACTTTAGTAAGATTTTAAACTTTAACTCTGCACTGTAACTTTTAACTCTTTATATTTTTACTTCAATTAATTTCACTTGAATTATTTTAATTTGAACATATTTTCAGATTTAATAATTTCAGTGATTTTTAAAATTTCTATTTTAATGTTTCTTTTCTTTCCTCTGTTGTGATGCTTTGATGTCTTGTGTGAAGCACTTTGAATTGCCTTGTTGTTGAAATGTGCTATAGAAATAAACTTGCCCTTCCTTGCCTTGCCTTATACAACAGACTAATCCTTTTTTCTGCTTCTATATCCACATTGATGTGAATGATTATCTCCTTCCTCCCTGCAGGCTCCCTGGGACGGCACGGACCACTCGAGTCCAGCGCACCACATGTTCAACGAGTCCGATCCCATCCTGGGTCCCTCCGCTCTGGAGCCCGGCTTCCTGGAGGAGGAGGACGAGGAGGCTCAGGGGGGAGACAGAGGAGGGGAGGAAGGAGGGACTCTGGAGGAGTGTCTGGGCCTCCCCCCCTCCTCCTCTCCCTCCCACCCGTCTGCAGGAGACTCGGTGGAGCCGCTGAGCTCCAGCTACATGCTCTTCAAGGTTAGTCCGTGTCCCGTGTCGGGGGCGACTTCAGCAGAATACTGATGGATGGTTTCTTTCTTTAAAACTGAAGGTGAAGGGATGTTCAGTGGGCGAGCTCCTACTTCAACTGAGACGTTCTTCAGTTTGGGCCTTACCCCTCAAATAGGACGACAACAAACCGTAGAGCAGCAGAGATTGATCACTTAAAAAAAATCAAATCTCCTGACATGATTGCACTTCTTCTGTGATTTCAGGACATCGGCGTGAGCGAGGAGCCCAGCGCGGATCAGACCGACCTGTCAGCGAGCCCGCCTCCTCCCTACGTCCCTCCTCCTCCCCTCTCTCTGTCTGACATCACCGCCCACGACCCGCAGGATAGGCTGGGCCACTCTGATGTCACTGAGAGTCTGACCAATCCTGTGGAAGAGGAAGAGGACGGACAGGATGCCAGCGCCGGGTTTGAGTTTGAAGACAAAGAGGAGGAAGATGTGGAAGAGAAAAAATACACGACTCAAAGTCTGGAGGGAGAGGAGGGGGATGAAGATCAAGGTATGAAAGAGAGTTTTGGAACTTGGACTATTTCCCAACTTTCTGAACCATCATGTCTTTTAACCCTCATGTGTCACTATGGACATTTTTGTCCATTTGGTCAAAAGTTTCCTCTTCATCTGGCCATCATTTTGTCTGTGTTTGTGCATATGGCACACATTTCTGTAAGAAAGACTCTCTTGACACATTTTGGAATGCACATTTTATTTTTTTAATAGATCAATAGAACACTGGGAAACAAATTTACTACCCTCTTAAGTCATTAAGGACAAAAATGTCCACTTACAAAAAACTGCTATAAAAATAGAACAGATTGATATTTTTGTTCTACTTTTTTTTTGCATAAATCTCTTAAACAGCCCTGCTCAAAACTACCAAATATTGAGTAATTATCAGGAATTTAACCCTTTAAATGCCAGAATCATGTAATCAAACTGCCATTAAAGGGTTAAATTCCTGATAATTACTCAATATTTTATATTTTTGAAGTTGTTTAAGAGATGTATGCAGAAAAAAGTAGAAAAATAAAATATCAATCTGTTCTATTTTTATAGCAGTTTTTTGCATGGACATTTTTGTCCTTAGTGACTGAAGAGGGTAGTAAATTAAACTGATGCATGAGGGTTAAAAACCTCAATATGTAAAATAGGGGTCAGTTTAAAAAGAGCTTTATGGTTTATCCTCACAGGCGCTGACCGAAGTCTGGGAGTCTTAAGTCCCCAAATGGTGGCACCACAGATGGATGGGATGGAACCCGAGCCAAGCGTTGGAGAGCAGGACGAGAGGATGGAGGTATCAAATCAACTCTCTCAAGACCTTCAGGAGAGCTTCAACCAATCAGAGCGCAAAGAGGAGTGTCTGCAGGGCGTGCAAGCCTATCTGGGAAAGCTGCAACAGGAGGGAAGCCTCGTTTGTCCCGAGTCGATTGAAGAGCCCGGAGAGGAGGTGGATGGGATGATTTTATATCAAACCGGGGAAGAAGACACTCTGGAAAACTCACCTGTCTCTGAAACACTGATCGGGAATCCACCTGGAGAGTTTGTGCAAGTGGAGGGGAATTCCAGCGATCTTGCAGATCAAGTGGACGAGATCTCAGAAGGCCAGATGGACGGTGTTTCTCTTCTGAATGTTCCCCTGTGCGAGGACACCAAACCCAATGACATGGAGCATGAGAGCATTTATTCAGAATATGCAAATCCTTCCTGTGCCTCTGCGTCATCACCTGCAGCGGCGTCAAAGTCTGAGGAAGCCTCCTCACAGATAGATGGGATCAAAACTGAGATCTCCATGGATCAGGAGAACTATGACTGCCCAGCTGACAACAAGGACAATCTACTCCACCAAAGCCAAGGGAAAGTTTCCCCTGATCTCTCTGACAGTGTTGACACAAAGCCTTCAGATCTGAAGTTTCCTCTCTTGTCAGATCATGTCAGAGAGAAGAGACGTCAGGAGCTGGAGCTGCCGATCAAGAGGGAAGAAACCAAGACGGAGACGTTTGACGACGTCTACCCCGACAGCTCCCAAGTCAAACATGAACTTTCCTACGTTGTGAAGTCAGAGGACTTGGTGACCAAGTCTGAGCAGGTGGAGTTTACCGTCAAAGCAGAGACTCTGGAGTCCAAACCTGAAGACCTGAGCCTCCCCGTGAAGCCTGAGAGTGAGGACAGTAAACCTGAAGTCCTCCAGTTTGCAGCTTTCTCAGGAGTCAAACCCGAAAACAAACCTTTAGCTCTCGGGTTCACAGCTTTCTCAGACGGATCCAAACTGAAGACAGAGACGAAGCCAGAGGGCCTGGAGTTCTCGACGTATCCCGACAGCTCAGAGATCAAACCCGAGGCCAAACCGGAGAGCTTGGAGTTCAGAGCCGGACCTGAGATCAAAGCTGAGACCAAACAGGAGATGCTGGAGGCCGACAGCACCGTCCTGACCCCGAAGCTCGAGCCTGTCGATGGGCTGGTGGACGCCTCGGGGAGTCTGATGGTGAAAGGACAGGTGAAGGAGGAGAGGCCGGCTACACCTGGTAAGGACGGCTCTCAAAGCCCGATAGACATCTTCAACTTACCAAACAAGTCATTACGTTTTGTTTGACTAACTGATTGATAGTTTGATCCCAGTGAGAGATCCATTGGGTTGACTAGTTTTATCAAAAAGTCGGAAACTTGTAGGGACTTCCGTAACTGCAGTCCAAATTCTAAACATCATAAAGAGCTGTTTCCCCCCCCGCCCCCCTCTCTCTCTAGAGTCCATGCTCACGCAGGTTGCCATGTGTTGGACACTGAAGCTTCAGTGTTTAGCCAGCTCTGCATCGGTCTGTAAACCTCTCTGCGTTCTAACCTCTCTCCATTTTTCAAAAGCATCTCCAATATTGATCCTAGTTTGAACACGTTTCTGCTCGTGGAGCTTATTAGAAACATGCAGAGGCTTTTTAGGTCGGGTACAATCACTTCTATCTGAACCAGTTCTCTTGCCCGCTTCCATCGCTGCAACACCTGTTGGTTTGACCTGATAACTGCTCTCATATCTGGCAAACCAGGTTCTCCTGGAGGCGTCCATGTTGCTTTTCCGACTTGTTGCCAACTCCTAATTGGAACGTTGTCAGGTGTAACTTCATTCCCAGCTCCGACATCCAAGATAAATGGAATGCACCATTATAGCCTCTGAGTATGAGATTCTACTCATGTAGTTATGTTGTGCTTTATTTAAGATATGTCCTCCTCTTCCTCAGTGCCCGTGTCTGAGGGTTACGTCGGCAGCCCGAGGTTTGCCGCTCCGATGTCCATGTGTGAGATTCCCGACAGCCTCCATGACAGCAGGGAGCCAACCATCGCTCAGCTGCTGCAGGAGAAAGCTCTCTACTCATTCTCTGAGTGGCCGAAGGTACAGCAGAGTCTTTTATATAAAACATGTAGAATGCATTCAACATGACCTGTAACACAAAGATGTGGATGTTTCCCACTTTGAGATTATCTGTCAGAGTCCAGCTCCACCACAACAACGTCACCGGCCCTGCGGCTCATTTTATTGAGTCTGATGCTAACATCTCAGTCTTTTTAAGTTCTCATTTGAAAAGGCTGAACAACTTCCCTCATCATCGTCGTCATGTCTTTAGCTCAGACCTTTTTCCCTTTCCCGGCAGGACCGCGTCATCATCAACCGCCTGGACAGCATCTGTCACGCCATCCTGAAGGGGAAGTGGCCGTCATCGAGCGAGCAGTACGACTCCCCCGGCTCGCTCCCCGTTAACTCCTGCCTGGCTAACAGTCTGTCCCAGCAGCAGCAGCAGCAGCACCACCGAGCCAGTTTCCTGACCACCACGGCCTCCAGCTCCGTCCCGAGCCAGTCCAGGGTCCAGCAGGCCGGTCCTGGGCTCGGGTTCTCCATCCCGCCCCCGCTGACCAGACTGCCTAAGGTGAGAACTCACCTGTGACCTGATGACTGAGCGATTCAACTCCCTGTTCTATCTCAGCGTCTGTCATCTGTCCACATTTATGTCTATTTATCACAACGTAGTTTATACAAGAGGGGCCCAGTCTGCACATATGGTCATGCTTATAATGCTAACAATGCTAATAAATATGATGATTGTTCTTTCCTAATCGTAAAGTGCATGAAGCGTGCAGCGCCTCGTCCTTTCTCTGCTTCCTACGAGTGTTCCCGTCTTCTCACTGATTTGAAATAGAAAGAAAAAAATAAAACAATCAAATATAATTAATGTCAAATCCATTCACCTGTGAGCCAACTGTCATAGAGAGAGCTAGATAAATGTTGCTAGCAGAACGCTTGTTTTCCTCTGGTGCAGCGTGCTCGCTGGGCGCTCTTCTCTGCACTTATTGGGGCATTAAAACATTTCAACTTTCATCCCAAGACGACGAGTCTCACTGCTTTAAAACCTCAACATCACTGCAAATGACGTACAAAAACATGTGTCCTGTACCTTTAATGATCTGCACTTCACTGATTCATGAGGACACAAAATACATCAACATGAAATGTGTACGAGGTCTGTGTCCTCTCGTTCTCTCCATCGCTCCGCTCCTTTTCTGTCTCTGTTTCATAAACTGTTGATATTCTACATGTTCAAATCAGACTTGAGCTCAAGCTTTAAATCAAAATATCCGTTCCACTTGAACAGGTGACTTAGCCGTCTCTCTCCTTTGTCGATCTGTAGCAGACACCATCAGGACTTTACCTGTGAATATGATCGGTCTGCCTGTGTGGACGGAGCAGAGAGAGCTGCTTCTTGTAGCGCATTAATAACCGCTGTGAGCCAATCAGGATTCAACGTCTTGTTTTCTCTCTCATTTACCGCACTCCTCTCCTTATCTCTATGACACTCGCCCAGAAGTAAACCCAAGCAGGAAGTGGTCATGACTCCTTCAGGAGGCTGCAGCAGAGAGAATGATCTGATCTGTGTTGAGCTCAGGTCTGGTTGTTGGCCTCCTCTGTGTCTGTGTGTGTGTGTGTGTGTCTCTGTCCATATGTGTGTTTAACAATCCTCCATCTCTCTCCCATTCCTGTCTACCCCTCACCCACCCTGTCCACCCTGACAGTACATGCAGCGGGGCGGGGCATGTGGGCGCGGAGCTTGGCGCCTCACCTCCTTGCCTCTCTTACAGGAGAGGCTGGTGGCTCCGCCTTACCTCCCCGAGCTCAAGCGAGCGGGAGGGCGGAGGTTTGACTATGAAGCTGCAGCAGCTGCGGCCGCCGCTAAAGTCCTGGCCGGGAAATCGTTGTCGTCTACCGCTACCACCACCAGCTCCGGCGGGGCCGCTCCTGTGGTGGCCCCACCCTCTCACCGTACGGGAGCCATGTTGATAAACGGCTGGCAGGAAGCAGCCATCGACCTGACCAAGTCGTCCGGAGAGATCAGCACCACCAGCGGAGCGGGAGAGTCTGCGGCCTCACCAGGGGGGGGTCACAAGCTGCCGCCGCCACCCCCCATTACCGCCCCGCTGACTGGCTCGGTGGGCATTGACATGGCGGGAATCCTGCAGGCGGGGCTCATCCACCCTGTGACGGGGCAGATCATCAACGGGAGCCTGAGAGGAGACGACTCCCTGAGGAGGAGGAGGGGCAGGAGGAGAAACGTGGAGGCTCTGTACTCTGAGTTCACCAAGAACAGAGGACTGCACCTCCCCGACACACAGGTGGGTGGAGGAGAGGTGTATGTGACCACGCCCAGTGCATTGTGGGGGATGAAAAAATAGATTTTGAGTGTTACTAAAGAATTGAAAACGTTGTCTCTGCAGGGCCGCGTGGAGGTGATCAGCCACTCCTCCGTCTCCTCCTCCACCTCATCTCCGTCCCCCTCGCCTTCAGACCGACCTGCAGGCCCCCCCACGCCGTCCTCCTCCTCTACGCCAACCCCTACCCAGACGCCTCCTCAGCCGGAGATCGTGGCCATCGACAGAGAGGCGGCGAGTAAAGGTCTGATTGAGTGGTTGAGGCAGAATCCAGGATACAGCATGGAGCTCCCTTCATTCGCTCATGTGAGGATGATGATTGGTTACTTTTGACGTCTTTAGGGGGGCGGATAAGTTTTAATTCTCTCTCACCTGCTCTGACTCCCCCTGTCTCTAGTCCGGAGCTGGTCTGTTACACGGCTTCGTGGAGCGCCCGAAGCAGAGGAGGCATCGCTGTAAGGACCCCACCAAGCTGGACATCAACACTCTGACGGGGGAGGAGAGAGTTCCTGTGGTGCACCGAGGCACCGGACGCAGGGTGAGAAACATCAAACCACTGTTTAAAAAACATGAGAGGTTAAAGAGGACATATTATCCCCCTCTTCTCCCCCTTTTCTAACAGTCCCCTGTGGTCTAATTGAAACATCTGTGCTGTGCTTTGGTCAAAATATAACATGAATCAAGCACCAGAGGAGGTTTGTGACCATGTTTAAACCAGCTCTCTCAGAACGCTCCGTTTTGGTGTGTGTGTCTCTTTAAATGTAATGAGCCCCCCCTGAGTTTTCCCCGGTAGACAGCAGTCCTCTGAAGCGAGAATAAAAATGGCCGACCTGTGCAAAAATTTTGTTCTAGGCTGGAGGTGGAGTCCATGGGTGGAGATATCAGGGGAGGGGAGGGGATTCTTTTTTTTACCAGAATCCCACTGTGACATCACAAGGAGAGAACATTTTTCTCTGTGTTGTAAGATTTATGCATACCACAAACAAAAGGACTGGATGGATTTATTTCACATTTCGTTGGTCAGTAGACACTCTGACCAACGCAATATTCACGCAGAAGAGTCCTGTGGTCACTAACGGCAGCGCTCAGAACCTTAACTTCAGAGCACCTTTCACTGCTGCTTACGGTTGCTAGGTTACGTACGCTGCATCACTTCCCTTCTGTTTTTTAATTATTTGTAAGCTTCACACTTTAATTTGGATCAACTCAGTCGTCAAAACTGAATCGTGTCCCGGCGTTAGCTGCAGCTCTACGCCTGACATTGTTCCTTAAAGACGAGTCAGTTCAGGTTCTCCTCTGATGCTGACAATGATGATGTCAGAAGTCCCGCCCCTTCTTGATTTTTGATTGGTTAGCTGACGGAACAGTGACATTGACGACTGGCATTTCAATGTGCTGAGCGCTGAAAATCCAGAAGTGAAAAGGTTTGGTTCAGACAAACGGGGCTGCCGGATACATGCAGTCCATCAGCGCCGCGCTTTTGCTCCACAAGAGGTCGCCGTAGTTCATAGTGTTGACGGACCGCGGCGAGCGTGGATTATATGGATATGGAAATATTCAGGAAGTAATGAAAGAACAATGCAGTAAACATTTTAGCTACACATACTGGTTAACATCGTTCTTGTACTGTTGTTGTTTTCTCGCCCTGCAGCTCGGAGGGGCGATGGCGCCGGCCATTAAGGAGCTCTCCAGGTGGCTTGATGCAAACGCTGAGTATTTTGTAGCTCCGGACTGGGCTGACGTGGTCAAACACTCTGTGAGTAAAGTTTTGTTTCTCCTAATGACGTCCTGCTGCAGCTTTGACCACGCCTCCCTGATCTTTGACTCCTCCCTCCTCCTGCAGGGTTTCCTTCCTGAGGGGATGTTCTCGCGGATCCTGACAGAACCGGTCAACAGAGACCCCGGTTCTCGGCGTCGAGGCCGGCGACCTCGCAGCGAGATGCCTAAGCCCCTCCTCTCCGTCTCAGACTCTGGCTCCTCTGGCCTGGGCCCGCCCCTCTTCATGAACGGCGGTTTGATCGGCAGCATGGACTCGATGGTGGCGATGCAGAACCTCCGCGGCGGGATGGGTATTCCCATCTCCGGGATCATGGCGGCCGGATTCCCTCACGGTTTCTCTGCAGCCGTGCAGGCGGGAGGAGGCGCGGTGTCGTCAGAAGACACAAAGAACGGATTGAGCATGTTACCCATGATGCTTCACGGCATCCCACACCCTCATGGGGCTGCGATCCCGCAGCACGCCTTGTTCAGCGTCAGTGCGATGATGGCACACGCACCGCCTCCTCCTCACCCGAGCTCCACCTCCTCCTCCTCTTCTTCTACATTGTCTGCTGCAAAGGTTACCACGACAACCGCGCCGTCTACATCTGAGGCAGCCAGTCCCTCGTCGACGACGCCTGCTGAGAGAGAGAGCGCCGCGTCCTCTGGCTCTGCTGGAGTAGAGAAGGAGCGGAGCCAGGACGAGAAAGGCGCGGCAGACACAAAAAAAAGGGCAGGAGGGGCGGAGTCAGCGGCCATCATCACCTCCACCAGCAGGGCGCAGTTTGGCGCTGCTCATCTGGGCAGCGGTACTAGCAGCCATCTTACCTTCAACCCGTTCCTGATCCCTGGCATGTCGCACGGCCTGCTGTACCCGCACATGTTCCTCCCGCACGGGGGCATCATGGCGCTCCCCGCCATGCCTCCTGGAGCGTTGGACGGCTCACCGGGGAGCCCCAAGAGGAGGAGGAAGAGAGGGCGCGAGGAGGGGGAGAGAGAGGAGGAGAGGGAGAAGGCCGAGAGAGAAAGTACATTTAAAGCGAGTGTGTCCTCCTCGTCTCCCTCCCTCGCCTCCACCTCCGGTCTCTCCCTGGCTGAGGAGCCCGCCGCCGCCGGGCAGGGGCGTGCAGAGGAGGAGCCTGCAGAGCCCCAGGAACCAGACTCCCATCAGCACCCTGAGGGAGCGGCGGCAGAGGAGAAGGAGGAGAGAACGGGGGACACAGAAGGGGAGGCACCGGAGGAGGAGGAGAAGCAGGACGCTGAGGAGCAAAGACAGGCGGGAGGAGAGGAGGTGTAGAAGAGGAGAAACTGCGCCCGCCTCCTCCTCCGCTGAGCAACCGTGTAAAGTTTGTGCCGTGTCTGTCAGTCAATGTCCATGTAAAGACTTTTACTATGATGATGACTAATAATGATGATTATATTCGACTTGGTTTTGTTTATATACCAAGACCCAGCCCACTCCCCCACAAGCTCCGCCTCCTCCCCCTCCTCCTTGTATACAAAAACAACTAGTGTAAGAAATCTTCTGTGTATTCTTCCCCTTCATTCTGCATCCAGACTGAGTCATGAGTGACACTTTATCAACACACGCACACACACACTGCAGGAGAATAAAACAGCTGAGCGTTGGCGTGCATATTTCCCCGCTTATGACCTCAAAGGGATGGCGATGAGCGTTGAGGTGGTCCTGATAATCTTAACGAGCACCTGTGTCTCTATTCTCACTCCCAGCATACTCCATTGAGTTTTTTATCTTGAAGATGAACTCGAAGCTTAAACCAGCATTCCCCGATTGCGTGAAGCTCAAACTCCATTTTCTTTTCCGAGGTCGGAGATACGCTCGCTGTTTAGCGAAGCGGCTGCATCGTGAAGCGTTTAGCGTTCATGTGTCTGGCTCTGCCCTGCGCGTGTTACTGGAGGTCACCTCTAGAGGGCGCCCGTAGAGGTCAGGTTCTACAGACACCCGAGGAGGTGACTGTAATGTTCATTCGGGGATCAGAACTAACTTGATATAATAGTGAGGTCAGATCAGCTCAGACTGACTCTTGCGTTTACTGAGTGACCGTCTGTCAGCGTTTCAGCAGCTGTAGGAAAATAACTAAAACAACAGACGCACTCAGATGAAAGTTCAGGGTAAGTTTTGAAGCTTTCCCCGTTGACTTCTAAAACAGAGCTGAACCGTCCCCGAGATCTTCTGACCGACACATCGCCATCATCACAGACTTTGTGTCTCAGCTTGTCGCTTTCTGTCGTCGTTGTCTCTGCTGCTGTCTAAGGCCCCGTGTCCACCTAGCGTTTTTACCTGAGCGACAGCATCTTTTTTTTTCCATTGTTTTCAACGAGCAGAGAGTGTTCACAGCGGAAAGCGGCCACCCTGAGAAAAAGCGTCCATGGGCTTTTTTTCTGAGCACTTCCCCCTTTTCTGTTAGACTTTTCAGAAAGGCGCTGTTGACGTCACCAGGCGCTCTTTTCCAAATGTTCCCCGTATTTTAGTCTCCTGCAGATCGGGTCTTGTACCCTCATCCTCCTCGCTCAGTGTCTGATCAGGAAATAAACAATCTGAAATATAAAACATGTAGTAAAAAGTAACGGAGCAGTGTCGGCCATACAGCGACCGTTGTCAACAGACTGTTGTCATGGAGACAGGACGGATGTGCAGCGCTTTTCTGCCCAGACGAAACGCCAGGTGGCCACAGGGCCTTAATTCTGTCACATCTGCCTCTACACTGCCCTCTGCTGTTCATGTGCATACTGCTGCTTGCGACCACTTGGTGTTCATTTTTTTGAGGTTTGCACAGCCGAGGCTCCGAACATGACCGCAGAGGAACAGGAGGCAGGCGTAACGCTCATAACGTGAATGAGCGGTTAAAAGCAAGAATATCTCCGACCTCGAGGTTATAAACACATCCACAACATACAAAGATAACAGACATCAGCCCCTGATACAACCTTTATTTAAGAGATGTTTTTTATTTTAGTTTTTCTATTCAAAGACGGAAAAATTCGTGATTAAACTGGAAGGTCAAAGGTCACACGACAGGTCAATTCATCGTCGTTTTTCAGATCGTCTGTCTGCATGCCCCAGCTCCACCACGTTTTAGATACTTAGCATAAATATATTTTTGAACTTGACCTCGATTATTAACGCTACACCAGCTTCTTCACTCTTCAGACAGGAAGAGGAAACACTGAGAACAAGAACTCCACCTTCTTGTTTGCTTTCATCGATAAACAAGCAGAGAACAATCATGAGATTCATTTCTTTTATTCTTTTCATCATGTCGAGATTTTTTTTTAACAACTCAAAACACAAAGTCACTTTGAGAGGAAATCAAGGAAAAAGGAACTGTAAAATTAAGAGCACCTTCAGGCCACCAGGGGGCGGTAGGAGGCAGATGAGATTGTATTATGCCTTGCAACCAGTGAGGCGGCGAGATGGAGGGAGACGAGAGGAGGGGAGGGAGGAGGAGGATTTTCTTTCTGTTCTGGTTTTATCCGACTCCCACATGTGACGTATTAGAGCTGCAGAACGGATCCACTCATGACCTGTAGCATCATCTCATCGGTCGACCCCCTCACCTTTTTTTTCCATCCTGTGCATCGTCTGTCCAGAGAAAGGGAATCATTTGTTGTTCAGGAATGAAGAACAGATCAAAAAACAGGACGAGGAGGGATGCACGGCTGTGAGAAGCATCGCTCTTTGTTTTCTTCGGTTGAGTTTTAAAGCAGTTCATACTAAGAGTTTCTAAATATGTAAATCTATCGCTGTATATTGCTGTTTTTCTTTTTGTTTTTTTCTTTCACCTTTTTGTTTCTGCATTGGGAAAAAAATACTTGACAGAAGCGATGTTTGGCGTTGCGGTTAGTCCCGGTGTTTTCTGACTGTACTGTACATGAAATGATGCAAAGTGTCTGCAGAACAGGGTGTGTATTTAGAGGCGTTTATGTCACATGTTGGAATTCACTTTGGTTTCGTTTTCATACCTGAAAACGATTTTTTGCACAGTGTCTTTTTGTGAACCTGTTCCCGTAGAGTCCTGTGTTTCCTTCAGAGTGTGAGAGAGTGTGTGTGTGTGAGGTCACAAGAGAGAGAGTGTGTCTGTGTGCATGCATGCGCACACGTTTTTGATGTCTTCTCCCGTCTCGTCCCGACAGGTCACATTTCTTGTTGAGAAAAAAAAAAACATAGTTGTTGCCTTGTCACAAGTTTGTGGCTCCATATAATTTATTCTACTTTTTTCCTTTTGCTTTGCCAAACTCTCACCAAATATGACATTCATTCTTTTTTTTAGTTTCATGACGTATTATTCAACGTAAAATGCCTTATTTAGCGAGTATTTGTTTTTGTATAGCCATTCTGTTAGATCTCCATATATGAACATGTTATTGTTACTGTGTTTGTTTGTATGCGTACACGGCCTTGGCCATGTGCATTATCTTCATTATCTTCACATCAGTGCGAAGGTACCACGGTCTCCAAATCACTACGTTAATTCCCAAACAATCAGTCATCCCTGAAAGCACAAACGGAGAGTTAACAAAACGTTTCTAACCAGTGCCTCTAAAACGACCTTTCATAGTTTCTCTCTTCTCTCTGTGGGCGTCACTTGTGCACTATGTGGACGCCATGCTTCGATAGTTTCGTCATCCCCCGGTTTAGGGGGGGCAGGACGATGAACATTTGGAAATGTCACTCCGATATGCAGACGATACCATGCTGTTTGTTAAGGGGGAATTCTGGATTCTCTCCAACCCGAGTCGTGGATCATTTTACACTCAAATCCATTGTAGAGGTTCAGAAAAGATGAGCAAGATGTCACCCGGAAAAGAAGCGTGATCCTCCTAGTGTTGGAGTACTCTAAATTGGTCTTGGTCTCGATACCACTTTTTGAAGGTCTTGGTTTCATCTCGGAATCGAAAATTTCGGCCTTGTCTCAGTCTCAGATTGGACGGACTCTAGATTTTAAGTCAAGACCACCACTGACCACGTCGTTAATGTAATTAGAAGCAAAACTCAGAGCACAGGTTGACTAATGGAAGTTCCGGGGTTGTCCATTTTGTAACGGGCTGAGCAATGAAAGTGACATAAGAGGAAAAGCTAAGTGCTAAAATTAGCGAACTCTTCACAAGACCTTTGTAGGGCAAAATCGGTAAAGAGGCGATGTACTTGCATGAAGCGGTTAATGGCGTCTCCAGCGGTTAGGCGTACTGTACTTGAGTGCCGCCGTGAGTCGTTCTGATTCTCTACAATGGAGACGAGTCGTAAAAATTTTCGGACTTTAGAAACACAGTTTGTTAAACGCCAGAGTTTCCTGTCAAGAATTGCTGTTGAATCCCGCACCGCACTCATTCTGCACGAGGCCTTCTGTTCGCCATCCAGCACCGCGTCGAGGAAAATAATGCGCGCACAGTTTGTCTCCTTCAAATAGTCGACCGTCTTTGTGTTTTCCTAAATCAGCAGCCTGTCGTTTTGTTCCACGGCGGAGGAATCGCTTCAATCCCACATCGCTCTCTCTGTTACGGACTCGATCTGGTGAGAAAACCTGAAAGGAAGTCGTGCAGGTTTCAGTGTGCGAGGAGACTGGAGGCTCTGTGTACACGTCACGCCATGCCTTCTCTAACAGTGTTCTGTCTGCTCATGTCACCTCAACATGTTGTAAACGTTTGATCTCTGCTCATGAATGATGTATTTATTGTATAGTTCTTGTCTTTACATGACTGACTTTTGTTACTCTTGAAAGTCTCCTGAAAGCATTTTTTGGTTCACATGGAAGTTAAACTCTGCTTTTCTTTGTCACTTTTTAACCTGCTATATAAAGATGTTTTTAAAAGTCCCCTGATACCTCCACTTATTGTCCCAGCAGAGCCAGGGGACGCGTACATGCATCATCATCGGGTCAAAGGTCAATCTTTGGTATGATTTGGGTTGAAGAATTCTCAGAAGTGGGAGGGGGGGCTTTAAAGCGATAAAACATCTCTGTTGTTCGATCGTCAGAAAAATAACCAAAACTGAGCAGCGTCCGGAGCAGATGTGTCGGTCATATCTCCTGATTTACACATTTAAATATCCGTTCACTTTTAACTCTGGAGTTACAGCGACAGACAACAGATTCCTGATATATCAGCATCTTGTATCTGCGTTGCTTTTCATCAATCCGAGCAGATTTGTGTTGTCTTTGTCTCTCAGACACACAGGTTCTGCGCACCTGACTATGAAAGGGCGGGGGTCTTAATGCCCTCGGTCCTCCCTGTCCAATCAATCAATCATTATTTGTATATAGGCCGTGCATGAACGAGGATGGCGGTAGTTTTGGGGACGACACAGTCCAATGGTGGCGGCCGGCTTCTGCTGCTGGAACAAGGACTACTGGGCTTCTGGCACCAAGCAGCCGGTATTTATTAATAATCTCTACAACATGACTGATGAGCTAACACACGTCCTATCATGAAGCTAATGTTAAAACATTATTAAGGGAACTCTTTCTGGCTTCAGCAACTTCAAACATGGAGGTCTAAGCAGAAAAGAAAGACACAAATCTGTCGGTTTGAAATTATTTTTTACTGTTGTGCACGTTGGGAAGAAAACTCTCCTGCTGTCAGAAACACGACATAAATGTGTCAAACATGCAACGTCAGGAATTCAAGCATTTTTAAGAGTGTAAACTTTAACTGATGGAAGATTTGTGGTGTTCAGAACAAAAGCATGAATTCTGCCGTCAGTAAAAGTAATCTGTAACACTTTAAATTAAGGTCCTAATAATCTAACTAGCTGCTTATTAGCATGCTGCTAAACAAGACCGTAACCAGGGTGTAGAAAATACTGAGGGCCAGGTTTTCTTCTCTTAATGTTTCACTCTCAAGTTATTTAATGGCATGCAACATTCATGACTTCAAATGCAACCCAAGCTATGCACGACAATTCACACACTCTTACTTCCTATTTGTAAAGCTGCAGATGATGCGCAGAGTTTTTTTTTCTACAACTAGGCGGTGGGTGCTTGTTGTTGAAGCGGCTACCTTAAACTATGAAATACAGCAAGAAACACAGAAGTAGTGTAGGGCGGGCCGTGACTTTGTGGCATTTCAGTTTGAGTATTTTCAAAGTAAAAGCATCTAGAGCTTCATAGATTGATGGTTACAGTTTTTGCTGTCTTGTTTTGTGAAAAGATCATGGCGATTGAGACCTCATGTAGAATAAAGGTACTAATAAGCAGCCAGTATGCTACTACTTAGCATGCTAATAAGTAGCTAGTTAATTGTGAATATTGTGATCTTTATTTAAAGTGTTACCGATTACTTAAAAGAAACCTTTATGGCTGCAGCACCACAATATACATTTATAGAAAAGTACATTCATGTTGTGGAATAAAATCCATTACAATAATAACAAAGATAAATACACAACTGTCGGAAGAAAGCCAATGAACAGACTCTGAAAAAGAAGGAATACACACGCATATTCAGTCTCCTTGTTTCAGACTAAACAGGCTGATCATCGGGCCGACTGTTACCGAGTACCATACCACTTTATTCATTCATTCTCCTGAAGAAGTACGGCTTGATCTCACCCTGATGGGCTGTGATTGGCTGACACCAATGTACCAAAGGTTCTATTTGACTTCAATTATCCAAATTTCAGAATTGGGATTCCTTTTGACTTTGGCCAGCGACACATTAGAGGATTTTGTGCCTGATTTGCTGGAGCATGGAGGAGCACCAGGGGAGAGTATTCCCTGGGGAACCAGGGAGGCTTTTGATTGGATCTTTCCACCCAGACCTCATAGCAGTGAATGTTCAGCGTTATAACATGATTAAAGCCTGCTTATCCTGGTATAGAGAGGAAACAAAATATATATATATTTTTTGGCCAACCCGGAAGTTAGCAACGCCATGGGGTCTTGGATCCTTGCAAAAAAAGAAAAGCTCTGTGGCAAACACACTGTCAGATGAGCACCACTTTTATGATGATTTATGTGATCCCTGGTAGCAAAAAGCTAACGCTGTGCTACAAGCGAAACTACGCCATGGTCGCATGGCTTCAACGTCACCACCACTACGACTCAGGATGACTCCGATAAGCGGTTTGGACTAGCTAGCGAAACCGAAGCTTAATAAATTGTTTCTTAACTGAATCTTTGCCTTAACCCAAAAATGAAACCTACATGACACCTCATGTCTGATCGTAACTTCAAACACAGACGATGACGTTTAATGTCCCTAACAACCACACTGTAGTTTCATTTAGCCACTTGTTAGCAACCGTCTTTTTAAAGACTCGTCAAAACTTCAAAATTAACTATTTGGGGTATTCACTCACGTGTTAAATTATATACAAGAACACGCCAACATCTCTTTTGCTTTGGAAGATTGATCCAAAGGCAACTGGACTTGTTGAAGATCTTGAACTTTATCTTTTGAAGATCTTCATCCAGTCCAGCTGCCTTTGGATCAGTCTTCAAATTCACCATGACCTGAATGACTAAGAACCTTCACAGACATCTCTTATGCTTGTGTTAACCACAGACCTTATTTTATCTAACCACCAACCCATCAAAAAAACAAAAACATTGAGTTTGAGGCAAACGACCGCATGGCGCTAAAATGCTAACTTACTTCTGGTTTTAGAACTCATTCCTATGGCGCCCTATACTGCAGAATAACCGCCGCCTGGAGGTCAGACTATATACTACGATCCAACATAGTATACAGCATACTGCGTTGGGCATTAGCATGTAGTGGGCAGTTTGGAAAACAGCCTTTGTTGTTGGAGTTTCTGAGACTTATTCTAATCCGTTGGTACGAGCGTCAGACTTTTCAGATTCAAAACCAAAAAGACATTTTTTAATGGCTACCAAAAAGTTTCCACATCTCTTGGGTGGAGATTTTTTCTCCGTTCATGTCAAATGAATCACAGACGAAGAAGTTCTTTTAGTCATAACATCAACGTCTTTGTTCATTCCGACGCATGAACGTGCATTTTAATAAATTCTCTGAATGTCCACTCTGATTGGAAACATGTTTTTCTTCTTGGATTTTCAAAGCTCCAGCTGATGTCAGCCGTCTGAGGGTCCAACACGTGTCGAGTGTGGCGATGAGTCTCGGGGGTGTGTCCTCCTCGTCCTCAGGGATCCCCTCACTTTTCTGTGGCGTCTGTTGCATTCGGCAGGTTGCCTACGTCGTTGCTGGCGATTAGCCGTAGTCTTTTTCTCTCCCTTTTCCTCCCGAGTCCTCCTTGTGTATTGTTTCTTCTTTCTGAGAGACAAAAACAAACAACTGAAGAGTCAGAACTTAAATTTTAAATAGTCACTTAAATGTAATAGAAATCAAGTATATCCTCTGAAAATAACTCTGTGAGTCATGACTGTCTACAAAGGGTGTAACACCCGAGTCCCGCTGTCTGTGATGTTTTCTGAGTTTTCCGAGTCCTATCTTCAGTTTGTTTACATCGCCTGGACGGCCGACCGACCGGCTCATCCCCTTGTGTATAAAAGTTGTTTAATTGAGGGACTAGAGAAAAGAAGAATAACATACTGTACTCACTGCTTAACTGCGTTTCTAGATCACGCTCATTTCGAGTAAATTTCCATGCAGCGTGAAGATACGAGCATAATAAAGATCGCTAGCATTAGCATGCTAACACAACAATGCAGCACAAGTTGTTTTGGTTTCATGCTGGTGCTCAAGGGCGCGGTCCTTATGCAGCGGTCTTTGACGTAACATCCAGTGTTTCCATGGCAACGATAAACGTGTCTTTCATGGCGGCTCATCATGGCCGCTGCCTCATCAAGACAAATCCCGTTATAACTATAAAATTATGTATTTCTCTGGCTTTGATAACTGTAGGAAATATTTGAGGTAATGTAAGTACTCAACAAATATATATATATATAACACAATTATTCATTAATTTAGATATTATAATGTAAACATTCTATATATTGTACGTTTAACTTCCTTACAGTAACTCAGAAAGGGAACAGAAATGTGTCTTGTATTTCACTTCACACCTGAGGATCCAAACAGCTGCAGTGCACCTTTACCTTTCCACATCACAACATTACGCATGTGCTGCTTCGACACAGCCGAGAAGAAAGAAAGAAGGAGAAAACTGGCAACGTTTGGTGTCATGTTCTCCATATTTCAGCAGAGGATTGTGAAAAATGTGCAGAGCTGCAGAAAAGTGAGGAGCAGTTGAATAGTATCTTCAGGAACTGTTAATGTTGTTCAGGTGTTTGGGCGCCTCAGATTGTGATCCAGGATCATCGCTGTGAAGAATGTGAGCCGACTGATCGTCTCCGTGGATCTCAAAGTGTCACTGAAATATTCCTGTTGATGTATCGCCGCTACAAGAGGCGCATCCAGAACCAGAAGAATGTTTTTCACTCAGCACAGCTTCATGTATTCCCCGTGCTGAGCACACACACAGATCAGACTGTGTGGTGTTTGAAGAGCTCTGGGACTTCAGGTTCAGGACTTCAGGGAGTTGGAAGTAAATGCAGAAATGTGTTGATACTCCACGAGACGGATCAGGTTAGACCTTATCCACATATCTGGTTTAGCTGTCTCCTGTTATTATAGCACCATCAGCCCACAGAGAAAATGTGGTTTTGATGTTCCGCCGAGAGGAGCTGCAGAATGTTTGGCTCAGGTTGAAATTTGGAATATTATTTTTAAAATATGAAGCGGTGAGGATGATTTAGAGGTTGGTCCGACATCACAGAGTAAAAACACAAATGTAGACGAAGAGGGAAATCTTGATGTTCAGAGAGACCTGTGTGATGATCGCTTCTCTGTGTACTGTATCTTTAAATACTATTTGTTGTCATGGTAACTA